CCGCTGCCGGCCCAGGAGCCCCAGGAGCCCGCGCACCAGGGGGGCCGGGAATGGGCCAGTACTGGGGGCGTCCTGAACAGAGCTTTGGGGAGCGGGGGCCACTTCAGGGCCTCTTCCCCCTGCCTCTTCCTCCTTCCCCTCCACTTCCTCTTCCTCTTCCCGTTCTGCGGTTGTGTTTGGTGTGTGATGTGTGTGCCCTTGACGCGAGCGTGTATCTCTTGCTCAGGAAGGTGACTGCATCTTCTGTTAGGACTAGGGCCTCGGCCACGCCGCCCTCATCCATCCTGTCAAGCCTGCCTGCCATTTTTGCAGCTAGTCATGTTATTCATTTTTAGGTCTTGGTTCCCAGGCAGTAGGGCTCGGGGTCCCTCCCGGAGGAGCTCAGGGGTCCCTGTGTTGTGCATTTGTTTGTCCCCCTGCCCTGGAGCTGTGTTAGCGACACGCGGGTGTGTGGCTTTATCTTCCTGCGTGGCCGGACCCCAGCAGCGCTCTTGGCCTGCCTCCGTCCCCCGCTCAGCCCCCCGGCTGCTGATGGTGGGCGCCGTGAATGGAAGTCATGTCTCTCCTAAGTTGCTCGTCTTTGACCTGGCCCGCCTTCTTGGCGTCACACATTCCGACAGTCTTTGCTTTTCAATGGCCGTGTTGAGTCGGGTTACACGTAGGTAGCTAGCGTTGGATTCATTGGGGGTTAATCCCACCAGGTTGGCTTTCTAGTTGATTCGCCATTTTATGTTCCCTTTCGATTCTTGCCTATTTTTGGTTTGATGAAGTATTTTATTTTATTTTTGATGAAGTACTTTAAAACTGTAATTTGCTTCTCCCTAGTAAGGTGCTCGGTACACATCTCCCCCTCCCCTCCCCCGGTGTTTAGAGAATACGATATCCTTGATACAGTATAATCGACTCTCACCACTTCCTTGAAAATCCTAGTATGTCACATCCTTTCATTCTCTTGCCACACACTTCCCCGTGTTTGTAGCGCTGTCATGTCTTGGACATGCGGCCTGTGTGTTGCTTTCATGCTCGAGGTCAGACGCACCTGCCAGGAGCCACCACGAGAGCCACTAACGCGGCACAGCCCTGCGTTGCCCCGTGACGGCCTTTCCCTGACCCGTAGAGTCCCCCGCCCTCCCTGCTGTCCGGGTGCTGTGAGTCCGTCCTTCCCAGACTCGGGCCCGGGCGGGTGGGGTGGGGGGTGCTGTTCGGGGACCCTCAGCGCTGAGACCGACATGCTCCGGCCAGCCGCGCGCTGATGGTGGGGCCTCCCCGGATTTCCCACTTGTGGTGCTTCTGGTTTCAGCTCCCAGCCCTCGAGAGGAGAGCGGCTGTGCGTCCCCGCAGCCTCCTGAGTGTGACACCCGTGCTGACTCCTTGCGGCCTGGTGTGCTCCTCTCTGCCGCCTCCCTGCCCCGCCTGGTCCCTCCTCACGCCCAGGCTTGGGTCTTTCCTGATGCAGCGACGGAGCAGCTGTTCACGTGCTTCTTGCCTGTGTGCTTCCTGCTGCGAGTTGTCCCTTCGCAGCCGTTTCTCTTTGGGCTGGGCTGTTTGTCCTGAGTTGCAGGAGTTCTCCTTCTCAGGGAGGGGGTGTCGGGCACTCTCGGTGCTCAGGGCTGCTCCTGCGACTCTGCGAAGGTGGTGCTGGGGATTTGAACCAGGGCCGCTGCCCGCACGGCAGGTGCTCCGTCCCAGTATCTCTCCGAGCCTGAATTGTCAGAACTCTCTACACCAGCTGCCGGGCCTTCGTTAAAGGGGATGGACGTGGGCGTTTTCTTTTAGCCTTTCTTGGCTTTGCTGATAGCGTCCTAGGATAATTTGATGACCGTTTATTTGCTCTCTCGGGAGCTGTCCGTTGGGTGTCGTATTGAAGGAGTCCTTGCTTGTGGCCTGGTGGGCCCCGGTGCGCCCTGGCACCGCAGGCTCAGGTCCTGTGCCGCAGGGCCTCGCACGGAGCCAGGAGCCCAGGTGCCAAGGCTGCTGGGAGGGGCCCCGGGGCCGCCTGGCCGCCACTTGGGAGAAATTATTGCCAGACTCACCGTCCTTCAGCTTTTTGCCCTGCTTGCTTTTGAGAGGCTGGTCTGGCTCCCCGGTGGGGTCTCGGGTCCACCGAGCTGGCCCTGCCCGAGGTGAAGGGGAGCTCCTGGATCGGCCGGAAGAGGCTTCTCGGGCGCGTTTCCGGACTCGGTCAGTGCTGTTGGTCTTTGTCCATCTGTCCACCAGGAGCCCCCGTGTCAGTGTCGTCGTGGTCATTCATCCTGAGATGCCTGTTGCTTCCCCTCAGGGGCTGCAGCCTGGCAGACGTGACTGTCACTGTTGTTCCAGGGACACTCTCCCTGCCCGGTCACCCAGGCCACAGGGCAGCGACTTGCTGCGCTCTGTTGTGTGGGCAAACTTGGATCTGCCCGGCAGGGAAGAGGGAACCTGCACTCAGACAGTGGGCGGGGGGGCCCCCAGACCTCAGCGGGTGGGAGTGGGGGAGAGACCCCCTAGTGAGTGTGGAAGCGCAGAGCCCGCGTCCCCTCCTCCTCTGAAGGCGCCTGTGAGGGAGCTGTCACTGACGCCCGGCCCTGGGCGCAGAGGCCTTACGAGCGGTGGACGTGACCCAGGGGAACTCGTGGTACCTCCCGGTGGACCCACGGCGCAGTGGCGGGGAGACTGCAGGAGTCTGGTGCTGCAGGAGGCGGGCGGGATGAAGGTCCCAGTGGTGGACCTTTCTGGAAGGAGCCTGCCGGTAGCTGCTTGAGGCTGGAGGCACAGGATCTCTGCCCGTGGGTGAGCGTGGGGCTGCCCTTCCCTGGGCACTGGGGCCTTGGCGCCTGGCTGCTAGCGTCCGGCCTCCCGCACGTCTGGCTCGGGGCTGCCTTGACAGGAGTGTGGCCTCTGCTTCCCAGGGACAGGAGGGCCAGCAGGGACTCGGCTTCATCTCCGTGTGCCAGAGTCCCTTCTTCCAGGGCCCGTGGACTGTGGACCTCTGGGCTGGTGAGCAGGAGGCAAGACTGGCCTGTGTCGGGGAGTCAGGTTGGTGGAGACCACCCGGCTGAGGGACCCGCGCCCTGTGGCACAGCCCAGACTGACCCACTGCGCAAGAGGTCTGCTTTCCTGGCAGGGGCCCGACCCGATGCTGCCCCAGACCCTCGTGACTGGCGCTGCCCACGGCCCTGGGCCATCCCCCCCAAGCCCCACACCTAGTGCTCTGCCCAGGCCTGCGGCGCCCCTGCTCCCCTCTCGAGCCCGCTCGCTCCTCTGCTTTAGCCCGGGAAATGCTTTCTTTTCAGTTAGATACCACTTTGTCATGGCCTAAAATGGGAAACTCCGGGTGTTCCACTCCCAGGCTCGTTCCCCGTGGGCAGCGCTGGGGCGTCAGTGATGCTGCGTCTGTGCTTCATGGGTGACCTCCCCGGCGTGCGGCCACTGCCCCTCCGGGGTCACGCGCGTTTTCCCCATTCTCAGTGTTCATGTTGGCCCGAGTGATTGCTTCAAGTTTGCCTTTGAAGCAGAGTGACGCTGTCAGCTGTGTGTGTGTATATGTGTGGTGTGTGTGTGTCTGTGTGTCTGTGTGTTATTGCCCCTGTGAGGGGAGTCCTGGCTCTTCCTGATCAGCGCTTTCCCAAACCTTCTGGAGAAGTCAGCTCTCGGCGACTCCTTGGGACTGTCTCTTCTTGTTCCTTTGGGTTTCCACTGTTCCTGCTAAGTCCCGCCTGATGCTTGGGGCACACGGAGTGATGTCCGCGGGTCTGAGGGAACCCTCTGTCCTGAAGTAGCCCCTCCACGGCCATGTGGGAGCTGAGGTGTGTTCCGGCCGGGCCCTCACCAAGCTCTTTGGGGCATGAGTGTTTGCAGAGGGAGTCGGGGACGTCTGCCTGGTCCTGCCGCTCGCAACTCCTCTCCTAATGCTCTGGAGACCCACCAGAGCCGTGGGCTTTCGGAGGCCGGTCCTGGTGACCCTTGGATCCACCATGCAGGCCCAGAGTTCTTGTTCAGGCTACACCCGGCGGCGCTCGGGGCCTTCATCTTTCTGCATGATCCGCTCTCGAGTTCGGACCGTTTCCCTGGACCTGTGGTGGTGCTTGTGGACGCGGCCCTCCCTGCTGCATTCCTGCCCCTTTGGGCTAGGAGCTCTGACCTCGCACGTGGTTGGGGACTCTGCCGGGGAACTGGTCACTTACTTCCCCGTCCCTCGTTGGGGTCTGGGAGCCCGAGGAGGCGTACAGAGGTGCGGCCTTCGGATGGGGAGTGGCCCGGTCAAGATGGGGCGAGGGGGCGCTGGGCAGACGCGCCGGGCCCGCCCCTGAGGTCGCAGTCTTCTCGAGTTGTCAGCATTTTGCAAGCTGGAGTTTGCTCTTCTCAGGGACCTGCTGGCGGGTTTTCTCTTCTGGTGCCAGCCTGCTCCCTGTCCGTCCCCTGCTCCCTCTGTGTCCTCCACCGGCGCCGGACAGTCGCCCAAGCTGGCTTGGCTCTCGGGTCTGGGCCCCCGCTTGCCCAAATCTCTGGGCGCGTGTGTTTCGGGAGATATCAGGTGGAGAGACTTAAGATATTTCCGGTCTCTGTAGAGTTAAGATGTTACATACTTACTCCCGAATGTGAAGAATTGGAGCGTGTTTACTTATCGTAAGCCGCTGTAGAGGGTCAGGATCTCTCTGTTTTAACGTCCGCAAAATCTGAGACCGTTCCACATTCATTCCTATTTGAAAGGACTTCAGAGCTCAGACCGCTCAGCGGAGCCAGAGCTCGAGCCAGTGGTGGGATCGGAGAGGAGAGACAGCTGACACGCGGGGGCTCTCCCGAGGGGAGGGGCACCCAGCGGTCTGGGAGTTGGTGCTTCTGCTGTGCGCGGGTCGGTGGGGCCTGCAGGCGACCTTCCCCCGACTCTGCCTTCGGTTTTCAACGTTTCCCCGAAGCCGCGAGGCATCCCACTTTCGCCTCTCGCCCTGACACCGTGCCCAGTAATTCCATCTCTCATCCGCCTCTGCATTTGGTTCCCAGACAGTAACCGCTCTAGTTTGATGCTTGTGATGAGAATAACAATTGGTATTTATTGTCTATACTTATGCGATTTTGTAGATGGAGTTTTAACATTGACCGCGGAGAACACTAGCTATGCCTGTCGAGTTCCAAACTCCCATAAATGTGAAATCTGTCTGCTATCTTTTCCAAAAGAGTCCCAGTTTCAGCGCCACATGCGGGACCACGAGCAAAATGACAAGGTACGTATCTCCGAAGCCAGAACCGTGAGCTTTGGAACTGGACGCAGTGTCACACTCCGCCTGTGTTAGGATCGCGCCCGTCCGGGACGTGGTCTGGCGAGGCCGCGTGCCTTGACGCGTGGCTCGGTGGCCGCACGCGGGAGCGTGGCGAGAGCCTCTGGGCAGTGTGGATCCCCTCAGGCTCCTGCGGAGCTGCCAGTCTCGCTGTGTCTCGCTCCCGCGTGGCAGAGTCTTCGCCTTCAGTGGTTTGGCGCAGCGGGTGCTGTTCTGGGCTGCGTGGTGGTCTCGGCGGGAGCAGCACCCTGGAGTCTGTCCAGGATGGGGGCGGCCGTAGGGCAGGGTTTGCCTCCTGGCCGGGGAGAAGGCGCTGCAGAAGGCTTCGGGGTGCAGCAGCCCGGTGGTCTGCGTCCGCTCAGTGGTGGGGGTCTGCCCTGCCCGACCAGCAGTCCTGTCACAGTTTCTGCTTCCCTGTTTTCCTGAGGTGGTTTTGGAGCCGGCCGGCGGCTGTCGGGGAGGCCTTGGGCAGGGCGCCTGCGGCGTGTCGGCAGCGGGGTGGCCTTGGTGCGGGAGACTCTCTCAGTGCCTTCTCGACTTTTCTCTCCGAATAGCCGCATCGATGTGACCTGTGCCCCCAAACCTTTAATGTTGAGTTCAACCTGACACTTCATAAATGCACCCACAGTGGGGACGACCCCAGCTGTCCTGTGTGTCACAAGCGGTTCTCCAGAGTGGCTAGTCTCAAAGCGCATATCATGCTCCATGAGAAGGAAGAGGTAATTATCCTGGCCTGTACGCTTCCCGTTGGTTTCTCTCATGTTCTGGTCCTGTGGAGGAGGTTCGGTGTCAGCTAGATGACGGAGCCCTTCGGGCGGAGGTCCAGGAGTCCAGGTGACCGCCCAGGTGACCGTCCCGTCTGCTTTGGCTGACCTCTGGTCCGCTGACACATCTGGCCAAGCCTGCCTTTAGGCGCCAGGAGGCTTGGCGGGGAGGACATCTGGGAGAGCAAGAACCTGCTCTTCCCTTTCCCCCTCCGTAGCAGAATGAGCCTTTGTCGGGGTCTGCAAGAGCCCAGAGTCAGGTGTGCGCCTCTGAGGGGACAGAGGCCTCGGCCTGGGACTTGGGAGGGGACAGGGAGTTCTGGATGCCCCAGAGTGTTAATTCCCGAAAGTGACTCCTGCTGACAGGCTGCATCTGGGGGGCATCTCAGGACGGGGCGGGGGACTGGTGTGGGTGTCGGTGCGGCTGGGGCTTAGGAAGTATTGCGCCCCTGCCACCCCCTGCTTCCACCCACAGTTGTTGTAAGTGACGTCCGGGAAGGAGGATGAGAGCACAGGCGTCCCCACGTCCCACCCTCTCACCGTCTCAGTGCAGTCGCCGATGACTGTTTGCCGGTGTTCCCTGCCTGGACCCCAAAACAAAGGTCTAAATACTGCATCTATAAAATGTGCATCCTAAAAGTCGAATTCATAATTTTAACATAGATGTGTATCATCTTTTTGATGTATCTTTAACTTTTAAAATTTTTTATTATAAAATGACTTCCATCCTCTGAAGCAAGGTATTGACAGGAGTCCCATTATCAATAGCTGTTAGTGGTGCTGATCGGCGAGAATGCAGGTATTCCACGCCCTCCTTTCGTTGTTTTGCTTTTCGTGATGTTCACAAGTTTCGAGTTGTTTTCTAAATGCCAAACTAGTGCTGCTGCCGTGGAGGGTAGCTGCTGACCCTCCCTTCTCTCCCTCCCCTCCCGCCTTTCTGTCCCCATCACAGTGTCCCGAGTGTGTCCCCCCACCCCTGCCCCCGGCAGCTTCTAGCTCACTGCGTCACCATCTTCAGCATCCGGGTACTTGGCCTTTCGCTCATCGGTGTTTTCCGGGGCGCTAGTCTTCGCGTGCGGACCTGTTGTATCCCGGGGTTGTTCCCACGGTGTGTTCCTGGCACACGGCTGCCTTCTTCCTGGGGCCGGAAGCTGGCGTCACAGCGCGGGCTCCTGGCTCACACGGCCGCAGAAACGGGCCTTCGTGGCCCTGTAGCGTGGAAAGCATTTGTGTCCAAGTGTGTCGAAGCTGCTCCTGGCCAGCTGCGGAGAGGGGCTGGGGCGGGAGCCGGGAGCACTTCTGGAGGCGGCCCCTCTGGCCCGACCGGGGTTGGCCGCCAGCCTCGGCTGCCGGTCTTCCCCTCATCACAGCCCGCGGCGTGGCACGGGGGTCCCCACACACAGCTGGGGAAGTGCGCGTGCTTGCAGGCTGCAGGGCGCACCTCTGGCCAGGAGACTGCCCCAGAGGACGTCTGGGTCATCACTGCTGTGGGGAAGGAGGGTTTGAGACCAGAAATGCGTCTGAGCACCCGACTCTGCCCAGTGACAGATCCAGCCCCTGTGTCAGCTGGTGATGGGGCTGCCACAGCAGTCAGCGCCGTCCTGTGAGACGGCCCCCTCAGAGCTGACGGGGGTGGGGTTGTTCGGGGCGCCCTGCCAGCCCATGGCCAGTGGATAGGCCACGGGCATGCCGACACCCCTGGGTTTCTCTGTCTCTGTAACGTGGTGTGTTGGGCTTGTTTTGATTCTATCCCGTACCCATTAGCGTCTTTTTAGCCAGATGTATTTTTCTGTCTTTCGGTTTATTTATTACTGTTCATTTTGCCCGTTTATGCCAGTTCTTTGACTCTCTAGAAGGTTCATTGTTCTGCTTGGGGGGCAGAATTAGTTCTCAGTTCATTAGCTTCACCTTTTTCTGGTGGTGCTTAGGACTGACTCCTGGCTTTGTGCTCAGGGTCACTTTGGGCAGTGTTTGGGAGACCCCTCTAGGGCGCTGGCGGTCGAACCCAGGCTGGTGGCATGCAGGGCACGCTCCCCTTTCCTGCCGTGCTGAGTTCCAGTTCTCATTACTTTCTTGGTACTGTTTTAAATAGTCGCAGACGCAAAATTTCTCTTTCTGCTCCTCTGCAGACTCTTAGAGGCGCCACCCCACGCGCGAGGGAGATCGGCCCTCGGGACCTGCTCTTTCTCTCTGCTCGCGGTGTGACAGGGCTGGAGAGCGAGTGGTGTGGGCCCCCGGGTGGGGTGCAGGGGGTAGGGCCTGCCACCACACCATCCCCCTGTGCAGCAGCTGCAGGGGGGCTGTGGCCTGCCCTGCCCTGGTGGGCGGGGGGCGGGGGGCGGCTGCCGGCGCGCTCCCGGGGCTCGGGCCCTGCTTGAGGCTGCTGCCCTCCCAGAGAAGTCGGGCTCTGAGCGCCTTGTCTCCAGGGTGGAAGGAGGAGCTGGGGTCATGGCGGGCCGGGGACAGGGGCGCCATGGGCTTCCTGTCAGCTCTGGGTTCGGCCTTCCCGAGGGCGCCCCCCTTTCATATGCGCTCGCCCCATTCCTGTCTGGCAGGGCCGCCTCCCAGGGCAGCTCCTGGACCGCCCCCTCTGCTTATTGGGGTTTCCGGTTCCCACCCTGTCCTGTCACTCGGACTCCTGAGAGGGTGCCCATCTCTGCTGCGGTGTCTCAGGCGACCCCGAGAGGGTTCCCCATCTCTCCTGTGGTTTCTCAGGTGACCCCAAGAGGGTTCCCCAACTCTCCTGTGGTTTTCTTTTTTTTTTTTTTGCCTTTTTTTTGGGTCACACCCGGCGATGCACAGGGGTTACTCGTGGCTCTGCACTCAGGAGTTACTCCTGGTGGTGCTCAAGGGACCATATGGGATGCTGGGAATCAAACCCGGGTCGGCCGCGTGCAAGGCAGACGCCCTACCCGCCGGGCTATCTCTCCAGCCCTCTCCTGTGGTTTCTCAGGTGACCCTGAGGGTTCCCCATCTCTGCTGTGGTTTCTCAGGTGACCCTGAGAGGGTTCCACGTCTGCTGTGGTTTCTCAGGTGGCTCCGAGGGTGCCCATCTCTGCTGTGTGGAAAGGATGCCTGTCAGGGGGTTGGCAGCCCTGGGGAGGGAGAGTGGCAGTTGTTTAAGGGGGAAGAGGGAGGCTGCAGGCTGTGCTCCTTACTTCAGGTGTGGGGGTGTCCCGGCCGCATCTGGGGAAGAGGCTGGGCTGGGAGGCAGGGTCAGTGCGCCTTGGGTCCTGCTTCCCCTGCCCACCGTCCCTGGCCGGGAAAGGAAGGAGGTGCTGGAGCTCATAGCGTCTCTTCCACTGTGTGTGTGTGTGTGTGTGTGTGTGTGTGTGTAATATCCTGGGCTCCCTCCGTCTCTCTTGGCATCTCCCTCAGGTGTGTGTGTGTGTCTGTCTGTCTGTCTGTGTCTGTGTAATATCCTGGACTCCCTCTGTCTCTCGTGGCATCTCTCCCTCGAGTGTGTGCGTGTGTGTGCACCATGTCCTAGGCTCTCTCGTGTGTCTCCCTCGGCGGTGTGTGCGCGCGCCCGCCGTGTCCCGGGCTCCCTCCGTCTGCTTGCTGTTTCTGGTTGTCACTCACTGAGCTGAATGCTGGGTCAGGTATGACTCCGGAAATCACCTCCTGTGATTAGGCCATTCGGAGCTCTGTGCTGGGGTAGCCTCTCGACCCTGGGTTCCTTCTCTTCTCTCTAAACCCACTTGGAGAGAAGACCCTTACCTCGGAGAGGGCTGACTGGGGTGGAGGGGCCTGGCTATGAGCACCATGGCAGGAGTCCCTGTCCTGCTCCCCTCCTGGACCTCTGGGGCGTCTGCCAGTAGGACATTTGGAAGGGGCTGCATGGCCTAGCTCCTGTGCCAGGCCTCAGGGAGGGCCCTTCCTGACGCCCCTGTCCCGCTCAAGGTCGGGTCGTGGGTGCAGCAGCTCTGGCGGGGTTGGCGCTCGGAGGTGCCGGGGTTGTGGGGGGGGCAGGCAGCAGGCAGCCTGACTCCCAGATGTGCAGGCCGGGCTGCTCCATGCTGTGCGACCTTGGACCAGAGCGGCTGCCTAATAATGACTGCTGGGCCCCGACAGCCAAGCCCCTGAAAACCGTCCCCACCAAGAACCTGGATGGACCCAAAGCCCATGGGGAAGGCCGCGTGTACCCCCTGGGGGGCCTGGGGACTGGTGGGGGTTTCAGCTCCCCGCCACCCATCGCGCTGTGTGGGCTATCCGCAGACAGCTGGGGCGATGGGAGAAACAAGGCAGGAAGGAGAACCCGGAACTTACAGGTCTGAGCCCGCCCAAGACAGGTGAAGGGCCATGTCGAGGACTCACAGCAGACAAAACACAGGAAGGAGCTGACCGCCGGAAATACAGGCTGGAAAAAAGGCAGCGCCTCAGGGACCATTAGGGCAAGAGTGAGAATCCAGCCTTTGTACCCTGAACCCCAGAAGGGCAGGACCAAGGGGTGGGAGGAAGTGTTCGGGAAGAAAATCGCCCACACTCAGCAGGAGAGGAGTGTAGCCCTCAGGGAGCACGTGGGCCCCAAGACCCACGAGACACAAGAACAAGCCGATGCTCTGACAGACTGGCAGGCCCACTGGTGTGCCCGCGGAGGACCCCCGAGCTTCTCAAGAGGAGGGGGACCTTATTCGCTTGCTGGGAGAGAACTTAAGGTGCATTCTTTGCAGGGTGAAGGGACCCTTCAGGAATGGGAGGGCGGTGGGTTTTCAGGTGGACCGGGGAGCGCTCACTGTGCGACTCAGGGAAGGAGTCCTGAGACAGGCCGGGGAGAGGGAGCCTCAGGGGGCCGCGGCGAGTTGTGCTCCACTGTGGCGACTGTGAGGCGTGTGACTGGAGGGTTCCCGTGTGTCTCTCCCTGCCACGGACTCTGGGCACCAGCACCTAGTAACCTCATTTGAATGAGGCTCACCGACATTTTAAAGACCGGTTTTAAGTTCTGTTCATCCTTCTCCCTGGGTTTCTCTGTTTTCCTTCCAGTAAAGACATGGGTTTCACGTGTTCGCACTTGGGCGTCGTGGTCTGTCTTTGGAGAGGAGAAAGCACTGTTTCCCCTTGGACCCACGCGTGCCTGGCTGACGCTTCTGCGTGGTCGCTCACGGACGCCTCTCCCTTTCCTCTCCAGAACCTCATCTGCTCCGAGTGTGGGGATGAGTTCGCTCTGCAGAGCCAGCTGGCCGTGCACATGGAGGGCCACCGCCAGGAGCTGGCCGGGAGCCGGCCACTCACGTGCAAGGCCTGCCGGAAGGAGTGCGAGACACCCCTGCAGCTGAAGGAGCACACGAAGACCCACTACAAAGTCAGGTGCGGGCGCTGCGGGCGGGCGGCCTGGTCCGTGTGGCTCCGTGGTCACAAGCAAGGGCCGCCTAGGGACACGAGCGCCGCTTCCGGCCTGGAGCTCCCTCTGCAGCTCACACCGACGGAGGAAAGAGCCGTGGAGACGGAGAAGCGGCGCCAGGGCCCGGGAGATGGCACAGTGGGTACAGGGCTTGCCTGGCATCCCTGATGGTCCCTGAGCACGGCGGGGCGTCACCTGCCGCCCGCACACCGAAGAAAGAGTGTCAGGGCCGGAAAGGTGGCCCAGGACTGGGGCACACTTGCCACGCCAGGTCCCGAGTTGGATCCGAGTCGGATCCGAGTTGGACACCATGGGCACTGTCGTGTGTGGCCCAGGTGTTCCGCAGCAGTTTGGGCCGTGAGCAGTGGACTGTCCGCCCCACCCGGCTGGGCCAGATGTTGCCAGGCCTGGCCGTGGGGCCTGCTGAGAAAAGGGGACTCCCTCCATCCACCAACAGAGAACGTCGGCTGCCTGGAGGGAACTTTGTGGCAGGTATTTAGAGACAGACGCTGGCCCTCCACCATGCAGGGCAGCGATGGGACGAGACACCAGCTCCTTCTGCCTGCAGTGGATCAGCCGCTCCCGCTGTGCGTGGGACCAACTATCCGTTCTGTGATGGGCACAGAGCCCTGCCGGCTGTGTCTCTCCTCCCTGCTGAAGAGCTGCCTGGGCGGGGTCAGGCGTGTGCGGCGGTGCCTGGGCCCTGCTCGGTGCCAAGAGCCCCACCTTTCTTCGGTGACACTCTTTCTTCGGTGTGGGGGTGGCGGGTGATGCCCCACAGTGCTCAGGAACCATCGGGGATGCCAGGCGTCGTGTTTGACGCTCCAAGAGCCCCAGCTCGGATGTCTCCCCTGACCTGCTCCCGACCCAGCCTTGCCCCTGTGGTTTTGGGGGGAAGAGCCGAGGTGTTCCCTGTTCAGGCGAGCCAGTGGGTTCCTGGAAAGGCAGCGCCCTCATCTTGGTCACCTGGTCCCCATTCGAGTCTCAGGTGCCCCAAATAGCGGCAGCCACGCCCCTCACAGAGGCCCCTGGCCACTTGGTCAGGGCGTGAGCCCAGGCTGAGGTCCAGGGTTCTAGCACGGCTGGTGGACACACTGAGGCTCCAGGACTCAGCCCGTGGCCCCCTGAGGCTTCATGACTTGGGGGAGGGGGGTCGCGGGAGGGAGTGGTGGCTGGGGGGGGGGCGGCCGGGGGGCTTGGTGACGACAGCAGCAGCCCTGGTGGCGGGTTGGGGCGGGAGGGAAGGGCCAGAGGCCCGGGGTTTAGGCTGAGGGGAGAGGTGTCCGGGGCCCGCCAGCCTCCGCGCCCTGCAGAGCTGTGTGTGGGTGGTGAGTGCTGGAGGGAGCCGACATCCATGCAAACACCTGCACGCGTGCCGCGTTTGACGCTCCAGGGAGAGCTCGTCTCCGAAAACAGTCATTTCCCCTCCGAGCCCGGGGAGACCAGGGCTCTTCCATGGGGCATGGAGGCCGCTTCACCGTCCAGAGTCTACCCTCGCCTGTCTGCAGGTGCCTGGAGGATGCTCGGTGGCCGAGTCCCCACGGAACTGTGAACTTGGAGCAGGCGTTCACTCAGCCGGCCTTTCTCTTGTCCTGACAGGGTGGCGAGTACGAGGTCCTACAACCGAAACATCGACAGGAGCGGGTTCACCTACTCATGTCCGCACTGCGGAAAGACGTTCCAGAAGCCAAGCCAGCTGACTCGGCACATCAGGATCCACACAGGTAGGCCCTCGGAGCTCGACTGGGCTGGCTGGAGTGGTCCCTCTGCGGCTTCATTTCTCCCCTTGAAAGACGTGAGCGGTCATTCTGTCTTCGTCGGAAGGACAGAGGGAAGGTGCGGGTGTGCCTCGTCTGTGACGGGTCAGGGTGTAGGGAACGGTGCTGGTGTCCGTGCTGATGAGTTCGTGTGGTGCTCAGGGTCCTGGGCACCCGTGGGGGCGGCCAGATGCGAGTTCACACTCCCGGAAACGGTTCCTGGGTCCCGTCTCTCTTGCTTGCTGGCCCCGCGGAGCCTTTCAGCCTCGCCGTCGGGACCCCATGACAGTGTCCCCAGAGCTGGCCAAGGGGACTGCTTGCCAGCCTTTCCTGCCCACGGCCTGCCCACTGCATCCTTCCCGGGGCTCCTGCCCTACCGCTTGGTCACTGAGCTAACGTGACTCCCACCTGTGGCCCCTGCATCCTGGGGTCCGGGGAGCATCTCTGACTGAGACGGCTGCGCTGCTCACAGGGCTCCAAGGAGGAAGGACCCGTGTGACTGCCCTGTAGCGGGACTGACTCGTGTTGTGTTGTTTTTCCTTCCACGCCCCTGACGTGACCTCTCTGCTGCGTGGCCGGTTCTCAGCACACGCCATGTTGTCCCCGATTCCGCTGTGGATCCCGGGAGTTTTGGGTGCGATTTTGCGGTGTGACTCAGGCTCATTTGACTTTGTTTTTTCAGAACACCAGAGTTTGGTGGTTCCTTAGAGCCAGGGAAGCAGAAAATGGCATCTTGGGTCAGGGTGCGTCTGCGGGGGCAGAGCCAAGTATCCAGACCGCAGAGACACAGCCCGACGCCACGAGACCCAACCTAGGAAGGGGCTTGTCAAGAAGGAGGCCTGGGTGTGGTGGAGGGGGCCTCGGGAGGGACCCTGGGAACGGTGCTGGAGGGAAACGGACTCGGTGCTGGAGTACTGGGTGTCAGAAACCCAGCTGTGGATGACTGGAACTCACAGTCCTTTAATAAAAGAAAACTTAGGAAAAAGGAAGGAAGAAAATAACACCTTCAAAAACGTGACGAGACGTTGGATTTCCCAAGTGTTAAGCTCGAGTTTATCTTCCCCCACTTGCCGAGGCCAGCCTCTGCTGCCGAGCGTGTCCCGGCCCCTTGATGTGTCAGTCCGTGAAACATCAGGCGAAGGATGTTCCGGACTCGGCCAGCGGAGAGCCAGAGCGGAGAGACCCTCGCGCCCCCTGTGCCCTCCCCCGCCGCGCGGGCTCTGCGCCCTGCGCCCCCTGCTCGCGGCCAGCCGCCCTCATGCTGGGGGCAGAGCCCGTGGACGCTGGTGGGGGCTGAGCGGCCGTGCGGGCGGTGCAGGGAGTGACGCTGCCCTCTCCCCAGGTGAAAGGCCCTTCAAGTGTAGCGAGTGTGGAAAAGCCTTTAACCAGAAGGGGGCGCTGCAGACCCACATGATCAAGCATACAGGTGAAAAGCCCCACGCCTGTGCCTTTTGTCCCGCGGCCTTTTCTCAGAAGGGGAATCTCCAGTCCCACGTGCAGAGGGTCCACTCCGAGGTAAGTGGCGCAGGGGCCGGCGGGGGCTCCGTGTTTCCGGAGACGGAAAGTCCGAGTCGCTCGGACCTGTACGTGGGGCGATGCGAGTGGTTTCTGCCTTCGTACTGGCAGCTCTCGAGAGCCGAATCGTTTGTTCGCGTGTTTGTCAGTGCTCGGGGCTTACTCCTGACTCTGCACCCAGGAATCACTCTGGGTGGGCGGCGGGGTCCCTGTGGGTCGTGGAATCAATCCTAGGCCAGCTTCCTTCCCACTGTCCTCTCACTTGGCCCCAGTATTCAGCGTCTATGGAAAAACACGTGAAAACAGTCCCCGCACGGCCCAGGTCCCAGGGCCGAGGCACGCTCACACCTTCGGCAAGCTCGGTTCAGTGTGAGGGAAAACGAAAGGACACCTGAGGGGAGCAGGACGCTCTGCCCTGGCCATTCCTGTGGCGCTCTCGCTGGCTCCGTTCCCCGCCGCTGCTGCCCACGCGCTCTGGCCCAGATTGCGCGTGCTGCCCCCGAGCCGTCCTGGGGCTGCTCAGAGGCCGCGGGGCGGGCCCTGGGGCTGAGTCTGCTCCCCGAGCCCCAGCCGCCCCTGCCAGGCCACTTCTGTCACTTTGGTTATGTCGCGAAGTGGCTACGCATAGGAAAGAGTGGAACTGGCGAGGGGCAGTGGCCAGTGGGCGCCGTCCTTCCTGACCTGTGTTAACCAGCAAACTCTGGCGCTTGCACCGGGGAACATCGAGCTGGCTAAGGTGTGGGGCCTACAGGGATTCGGCAGGCCCGTGTGCATGGAGCCAGGAACCCCTGAGCCCTGCTGGAGAACCACCCCACCCCACCGACGATGGGAAAAATGAGCACTTCAGGAAATGAGCATAGTTATTACTGGACATTGTACCCAGTTCCGGTAACTGAAAAATATGTTCTTTTACTTCTAAACGAGTTCAGATTTATAGGAAAGACAAAAATTTCAAGCAGTCTCCTATCGGCAGTACGGATTAAAGAGTCAGGTGGAATCCGGCTGATTTAAGGAGAGCCGTGTTTAGGAGATGATCTCTCTCGCTCTCTAATAACACTGTAGTTTGCGGTAATGTAAGTGCTTTTATCGGTACTTGCACAAAGTGGGCTGGAGTAATAGCACAGCGGTAGGGCGTTCGCCTTACAAGCGGCCAACATGGCTGACCCGAGTTCGATTCCTCCGCCCCTCTCGGAGAGCCCGGCAAGCTCCCGAGAGGATCTCGCCCTCACAGCAGAGCCTGGCAAGCTCCCCGTTATGTATTCGATATGCCAAACACAGTAACAACAAGTCTCATGATGGAGACGTTACTGGGCCCGCTCGAGCAAATCGATGAACCAAGGGAGGACCGTGACCGTGCACAAAGTCATGTTTCTCTTTTTTCCCTTTAAGGTGAAGAATGGCCCTACGTATAACTGTACAGAATGTAGCTGCGTGTTTAAGAGTTTGGGCAGCTTGAACACGCACATCAGCAAGATGCACATGGGCGGCCCACAGACCCCCACAGCCTCCTCCGAGACCGCACAGGTCTTAGCGGTAAGTCTGGAAGGCGCCGTCCTTCGGGGCTGCGGAGGCCCCTGGCCATGGCCATCCTGGGGAGGCGTGGGGCCGCTGGTGGCCTCTTTAGACTGATGTGGGATGCTCTGACTCAAAGCTGATTACTCTTCATGAAATCCTAATTCCCGCAGTCAGAGGTGCGGTTGTCTTTCCTCCCTCTTGTGCCATAGCTGAGACTTGACCGTCCCGTCCTCAGTGGACAGTGATGGGGGTCATCTTAACGTTGAGCTGTGGGGAAGTGGAGCGGTCTTTCCGGGTACGTGTGTTTGGGATTGTCCGGCTCAGAACACACACCCGCTCTCCTGTGCCGGAGCCCGTGGCTGGTTTGGTCTGAGTCAGCTCCCCTCTCCTTTGGGGACAAGTCACAACAGCAGAGGCGGGGCCCGTCGGTCAGGACCGGGGTCTGAGCGTCCAGCTGTGTGGACACGCTCGCTGTGCCACTGTCCTGGTCCTGCCCAGTGTCGCTCATTTGGATTTTGCTCTAAAACCCCAGTGCACGTTAAGTGTTTGCTTTTTTCTCTTTTCTTCAAATATTTTCAGCTTGGACGGATTTTGGACGAGTGTTTAACTAACTTTTAACCCTGGAGAATAATTAGGGAGATGGCACTGTGGGCGTCTCTCAAAGACGCTGTCCAGCCTCCGGGGTCGGTCTCCTGGCCTTCTTGCTGGGTCCCTCTAGCTGTCCCTTGGGACACCTCGGAGTGTCCTACGCGAGTCAGATCCTGTCATCAGGGCGAGTTTGTCGTCTGCGTCTCAGGACTTGTTTGGCGGGGTCCCTCCTGCTCCTCCGAAGCCGAGTCGGCCTTTGTCCTTCACGGTCCTTCCCTCCAGGCGGGCGGGCGCTGACCTCCTCCCCCGCCGGGCCTGCTGGCTTCTCGGAGCAGGCGGACGGAGACGGTTGATCTCCGGGTCGCTCTAGAGCAGATTTTGCCCAAGAGCCAGTTCTCGGACGTGGGGACCCCCGTGGCGCGGCAGCGCCCTGTCGTCTGAACGCGGGAACTCCCCAGCTCTCGTGTGTCCCTCCCTCCAGGGCGGCCGGGTCTCACACAGCAGGCGGGGGCCCCGACCAGGTCTGCTTCTCACGCGCGTGTTGCCCTTGCAGGCCACGCTCTTCCAGACGTTACCTCTTCAGCAGGCGGAAGCCCAGGTCGCGCCCACCCCGAGCCAGCAGAACGCACAGGCGGTGACCGACGTCATCCAGCAGCTCCTGGAGCTGTCGGAGCCGGGGCCAGTGGAGGCCAGCCAGGCCCCTCAGCCCGGACACCACCTGAGCATCACGGTGGGCGTCAGCCCCGACATCCTGCAGGTGAGGCACGCGGGCGCTGGCAGGCGTCCTGCAGGTGACGCCCCGCTCCCCCGCTCCGCGCCCGCCCGTTGAGCAGTACCTCTGGGCTCTGCACACGCCCCAGACACGCCCGTCCGGCTGTGGCTTCTTCCTCCGGGGAAGCAGGGCTGCCGAGAGCTCTGGCTTGGCGGAGCTTCCTGGAGTGTGGACAGTTCACCTGGTTCTCTGTGGGGCCCTGATGTAACTGTCTGGAGGTCCTCGGAGGCCCTCAGGGCTGCCGGCCACTGCCCCCGAAGGCCAGTGCACAGGGGCCTCCTCGTGGGAGAGCCGAGGCTGCCGAGTTCTTGTCCAATTGTCCCACTCCGCTTCCGTTTCCGGAGCGGGCCCCTCCCCCTCCCCGTGGACCGGCCGTGGTGGATTCTCGGGGTCCATGGCAGCCAGACAAGGCCCCTGCCGACTCCACCTTAAGGGTGGGCGGGGTCCCCGCCCCGAGTGTGGCGCCCAAGCAGACTTGTCTGGGGACGGGGCCGAGGGCCTGGCTCGCTCCCTGCGGTGACTTGCCTCCAGCCGAGGGACGCATCCCGTGTCATGGTGGGGAGGGGCAGTCGTGGCGCCCCGGGAGCGGGTGGGCCTGTGGCGCGGCTCCCGGGGCTCCTGCGGGCTGCGCGACTGTCTTGGCCTCCGTGTCTCCTAACCTCTTAGTTCTGTTCTGTCTCAGCAAGCCTTAGAAAACAGTGGGCTGTCTTCAATTCCAGTTGCAGCGCCTCCCAGCGACGCCAGCCCAGCCAGGCCGCCCAGCGCCCAGCTGCAGCCCGCGGACATGGCCAGCGTGGCCGGGGAGCCGGCGGAGCCTGCCGACGGGGAGCCGGACAAAGAGCAGGACAGCCCCGAGAAGCTGGACAGGAAGGAAAAGAAAGTGCTCAGGAAGAAGTCCCCCTTCCTGCCGGGTAAGCTGCAGCCCAGGGAGGACCCCTGCGCCTGCTCAGGCCCGGGCGCCCAGCCCCATGCCGCTCGCCTGCCCGCTTCCTTCCGCTCTCCGAGCTCTGGCCTCTGGGCCAGTCGCTGGGCTCCAGTACTGGAGCCCGTGTCTCCCTGTCTCGGCCCCGCGGCCCCGCCCCTCCCGCATGTGCACACAGACTTCATCAGCACTAGGGTTGCCCCCCGGGGGCGCCAACCCCGAGGGTGTCCGTTGACTCACGCTCCCAGGGCTCGTCTGCACCTTTCCTACTGTCCTCTGTCCAGCCCTGAGTCACAGCACAGTCCCCTGCTGGGCTCCCTGGTGCTGGCCCCTGCAGCCTGTCCCCTGCCCCACGGCCCCGGACTCCGTCAGGGCAGCGGCCAGCGCCGTCTTCACCTTCAGCCTTCCCAGCTGTCCCGGGGCAGCTGCGGATCCTCTCGCGAGGCGCAGGGTCCTGGCAGGCGAGGCGGGGTGGGCGGGCCCAGCTCGGGTCTGCTCCCCTTCCCCTGTGCCCAGGTGCGGCTGCTGTCTGACCAGCGGCCGGCTCTGCCCTCGTGGCCGGGGACCAGCTCTGGCAGGTGCAGGTGCCCGGGCCCTGGCGGCCGGTGTGCACACGTGGGGGCTGCCGTGCCAGAGTGCCAGGGCCCCGACTGCCCGTCGGCGGGCACGGCCAGCTCAGGGCTGGCACAGTGAGCGAGCGTCCGCTGGACTCTGCCTGCGCCCTTCCCCGCACCGCCCTGTCACCCCCTGCCCCGAACAGCCCCTAACCCCGCCCTCCCCTGCACAGGCCCCGCCCTTCCCAGCTCCACCCTCCGTGGCGTCCGTCCCGCCTCCCGCAGCGGTGCCCTGCCCGGGTGTGCCTGGCACTGAGCAGGAGCACAGGGTGCCCAGGCTCGCCGGGGGGTCAGGGCTGTCTTCCCCACGGCCGCCTCACAGCGCCTGTCCATGCCCCAGAGCAGAAGCCAGGTGGGACGTGCGGCCAGAGGGCAGTGCCTCCCAGGGCCCAGGCAGCAGCCCCGAGGTTGGCTTCGGGAGCTCCAGCCCTCACCTGCTGGGCAGCCCCTCGCCCTGGAGACGCCACAGCCTGCCCGGTAGCATGGTGCGGCTGCGTGGCGCGGGGTCCAGGGCATGCCCTGCTGGGCCCCCATGTGCATCAGGCGGCCCCAGAGGCTGGCTCAGAGGTGGCAAGTCCCCGCTGCCCCGTGGCGACGGTCTCACCTGAAGGTGGCCGCAGAGAGGCTGTGGGCCGCCAGGGCAGGATACGCCGCTTCTCTCGGCGCCCCTTCCGTCTCGCGGGGATGAGGGGCCAGAGACCGCTGCAGACGCGCGGCCGGACCGGGGGTGTCCGGCTCATTGACGGAGACGGGGGGCAGCCCCAGGACTCAGGACACGCGCTCATTCTTCTGGGAGAAAGACTGTGGGGCCCATTTCCTCACTTTAACCCCGAGAGGCAAGACTCGGCCCTTCCCTTCCTGTGTCGCCCTGTGGGCCGGCCTTAAAGAGGCCATTCAGCAATGACTTCACTTCCGAGTTTGGTTTCACCTGCTGCCTTCAGGCTCGAGTTCCAGGTGTTGCTAAGTAAGCCTTTAAGCATCTGGCCCATCCCAGCAGTTGGCCGTGTGGGTCTGTTTCTCTCCTCTCCTCTCTTCTCGCGTCTTGGCTCGCTGCTTTCGAATCTCAGCGCTCTTCATTCCTTCTCCGACTTCTCTTTCCTTGTCAGGATATTTGTACGCAAGCTGTTGCCACTGCACACTTGCCAGTTCCCTGTGCGAGTTATTCTGGTAGGGCCAGAGAGAGAAAAACAGTCCAGGGCACTTTGCCCTTAGTCCAAGACACCTGCTTTTAAGTGGCTTTTCCCAGTGAATCTCCACGGCACGGGCCCCTGGAACGTCACTGGTGGCTGAGACCCCCGTCTGGCCCCAGTGACCTGGGTGGGCACCGGCACGGTGCCCTCAAGCCCTGGCATCGACCACGGTCCTGACTCAGAATCACGCCCCCCAGAGTTCACATGATGCTCACACCCCACTTTCTGGCAGGAAACTAAATAGGCAGAGCAGGCCTCTGGCCGTGTTTGGTGAGTAGTGGCCGTGTCTCTCAGAGACGCACACCCTTCCCGGGCCTCACTCCTCGGCACAGTTCTCAGACTTCTCAGTTGGCGGAAGGAGGAAATGGGATATGTTCTTTCCCCCTCACAAAGCCCTCTGCCTCGGGGCCAGAGCGATGGTCTGTGTGTCCAGCGCCTGCCTTGCCTGCGCCCAGCCTGGCCCAGTCCCCGCACCGCACGTAGTCGGGAGTGACCTCTGAGCAGCAGGAAGCGCCCAGGAGGGCGGGGGAGGGGGTGTCGGACACAGTTTGATTAACTGGTTCAGTCTTTGGTGTCAGCTGGGTCCCTCCCCTGGCCTTCCCTTGGCCTTCTTCTCGGTGTCTGATATCTGATGAGTGAATGGAGCAGACTTTTTCCAGAGCGATTCTGCTGGGCGTTTTAAGTGCTGTGTTTCAGATGTCATTTCACTTAGCTTCTTTCCCTTAGTGAGGAACAGTTCAGACCCGACCCGGGAAGCCACCAGGAGTGTTTGGCTGCAGGGAGGGAACCGTGAGCGTCTGGCCTCCAGCTGGCCATGGGCGTCGCTGTTGGCCCGCCTGAGCTCTTTGTGGGTCTCCTCTGTGGCGTCAGAGCCTGCGTTTCCCGAGCTTTGCATTTGTAGCGTGGGGCTCTATTTATTTTTAAACTGAACCACCGTGAGTTAGAGCATTATAAAGCTCTTCGTGACTGGGTTTCGGTCATCAAATGTTCCAGCACCCATCCCTCCTCCAGTGTCATTTCCCAGCACCTGTGTCCTCAGGTTCCCTCCCCGCACTCAAAGCCACCCCCTGCTGCAGCCTGCCTCTGTGGCAGGCACCTCTCCTCTCTCTCTCTCGCTCTCTCTCTCTCTCTCATCTCTCTTTCTTTCTCTCTTTCTCTTTCTCTCTCTCACTTAAGGCATTATGGTTGCAGTGCGATGCTGAAAGGGCATCACACACATCCCTTACCTGCTTTCGACACTCAGTTCCTGTCCAGAGTGGTCATTTCCAACTAGTGCGATCACAATGGGCCTCCTCTACCTCAGCCACCCTCCACCCCCCACACCACTGACCCACCACTGACCAGTCCTCCGGGCTGTTTTCCCGGGTTTTGGTTATTAGTTTCATATGTTTTCATATTTTTTAATATCCCAGAAGCGGATGCAGTCCTTCTGTATCTGCCCCTCTCCTTCTGACTCGTTTCACTCAGCATGACACTCTTCAAATCTGTCCTTTTATAGACAAACTTCATGTCTTCGCTTTTCCTAAAGGCTGCATAGTATTCCGTAGTGTAGATATACCGTGGTTTCTTTATCCGTTCGTGTGTTCTTGGGCACTCGGGTTGTTTCCGGATTCTGGCTGTCGTGAACAGAGCTGCAGTGAACATTGGCATGCAGAAGCCGTTTCTGCTGTTGTTATTGGACCCCCAGGGTATATTCCCAGGAGTGGTTTTGCTGGGTCAAACGGGAACTCAATTTCTAGTTTTTTGAGGAATGTTCATGTTGTTTTCCAAAGAGGCTGGACCAGTCGGCATCCCCCCAGCAATGCGTGATTCCCTTTCTCCCCGCATCTGTGCTAGCACTGGTGGTTCTAGTTCGTTTGATGCGTGCCCGCCTCTGAGGTGGGAGATGCTGCCCCCTCGTTGTTCAGATCTGTGTCTCCCTGATGGTTGGCAGTGCAGAGCATTTCCTCACCCAGCCTGTCTCTCTGTGATGCCTGCAGGGCTGGGCAGGGCCCAGGCTGTTCTCCCGGCACTCAGGCCTAGGAGCGTGTGTGTCTGTGGCTCCTGTGCTCACTCGTCGTGGAGAGCTGCTGCCGGCCCTGGGCCTCTGTGGTGCTCCCAGCCTGTCGCCTGCTCCCAGAGACTCGGCCTCTCTGAGTCCTCGGTGCTCAGTGGCACAGATTCCGGCTCTGTCCAGAATCAACCTATCCTCTGCTGCGGCCACGCCACAGGCTTCCGGTGCTGACCCCGGCGGCCCCTGCAGTGGCCTGGCGTGGGCACGTGCGGTGTCTTGGCCCAGGGGGACGGTTCTGCTCTGCTCTCTGCCTCAGGGTCCATCCGCGAGGAGAACGGGGTCCGGTGGCACGTGTGTCCCTACTGCACCAAGGAGTTCCGGAAGCCCAGCGACCTGGTCCGCCACATCCGCATTCACACCCACGAGAAGCCCTTCAAGTGTCCCCAGTGCTTCCGGGCCTTTGCCGTCAAGAGCACGCTGACTGCCCACATCAAAACCCACACGGGCATCAAGGCGTTCAAGTGCCAGCACTGCATGAAGAGCTTCTCCACCTCGGGGAGCCTCAAGGTGCACATCCGCCTGCACACAGGTGCGTGTCCACCCTGCCTCTGCGCTGGGCACACGCCACAGCGCACCCACCCACGGCCTTGGCACACCTGGAAGGCGGCGTGCATGCCCTAGCGTGGGGGCCTGAGTGTCACCCCAGGGTCACATGGTCCCTGACATCTGGCCCTGGTGGCCCCCAGCACTGCCAGGGAGCAGAAGTGAATCTGGGCAGGGGTTCAGGCAGAGGCCTGGGAGGGTCCCCACTTCACGGGCCCCTAATTGCCCCGTGAGAGACACCGGCAGTTTCTGTGGGCTCGGGTTGGGCTGAGGCCTGGGCTTGTCTGACGGTCACACTGCCGTCGGCCGCCTTGGCAGAGCCTTTCCTCCACTGGCCGCAAGCGCAGGTCCGAGCCCGCCTGCCCACGGGCCGCCCTGCCCCCCTGTCCCGGCCCCCTTACCTGTGGCTCCCTCCCCAGACCCCGTGACCATTGAGTCAAATTGAATTGATTTGGTCACTTCTGTGTCCTTCTTTGGAAGTCTGCATTTTTATTTTCCGATTTAATCGTGAGGGAAGGGGCTTTCCTCTCCCAAGGGAAGTGACTGTCAGTCGCACACTGCCATTGTCATTACCCGTCGTGAGCGCGGCCCGGCCGTTGCGCTTCCCTTGCGTGGGGCACTGGCGCGAGAGCGGACGTTGCCCTGTTTGAGCGGTCCGTGGCGTGACGGGCAGAGGCTTTCTCCTGAGAGGACGCAGTGTCTCACTCTGCTGAGGCCGCCTGCGCAGGACGGCTTCCTGGGACACGTGTCGTGGCAGCGTGGGGCGTGGGTGACGGCGAACGCGGGGCCGTCGGCCTGAGTCAGGCGGGTCTGCGCGGCAGTGCCGGCCGGGGTGCCGACGGCAGACGTTGCTGGAGTGAGTCTCCCGTGTCCTTTCGTTGCCGGCAGGTGTCAGACCTTTCGCGTGTCCTCACTGTGACAAAAAGTTCCGGACCTCAGGCCACAGGAAGACTCACGTTGCTTCCCACTTCAGGCACACGGAGCTGCGGAGGCTGCGGCACCAGAGGAAGCCCGCCAAGGCCCGCGCGGGCAAGGGCAGCGCCCCGGTGCCCGACGTGCCTCTGCAGGAGCCCATCCTCATCACCGACGTCGGTAAGGGCCGTGCGCTGGCCAGAGGGGGGCGCGGGGGCTCCGGACCCGGGCGCGGCGGGAGGGGGCTGCTGAGGAGTGCCGCCAGCTCTCCGGCTCCGTGTTTCCTTTGAATCACCGCAGATTGCGGTTCTGCTAGAACCGGGGGGAAGGAAACTGCGCGGGAGCAACTTCCGAAGAGGGCTTTCCTGTGTCCTAGGACAGTTTCTGAAACTTTGGTCCGCTGGGCGGGCTCGTGCTTTTACGCAGCTCCTGTGTTCATGGCTTCGGCGCGGCAAACCAGGCTGGGGGAGAAAGAATTTCAGACCACGCGTACTGTCGTGTAGCCAGATTCAAACTGTAGAGCAACCTGCAGTCAGGAAAGCCATAGTCCGTGTGTAGGACAGTCCAGAGCCTGGGGCCAGCCAGCCTGCCTGCCTGTCCATCTCTCTGTTTTACAGTCGTCAATCATGATTTGCTGCGTTCAGTATTCCAACGCCAGTCCAGTCCCACCCCGTTACACCTTCCCACCACCATTATTTCCAAGTTTCCCAGCTGCCACCCAAGCGTGCCCCAACAGCAGGCCTTTATTTTGTATTACTCGTTATGATTCACTAAAAATGATCAAAAAAGATTTCCTCAGAAGGAAGTGTGTGAAGATTCTTGTAGCTCACCCTGGAGCAACTTAGCCCTTGTAGAAGAGGTGACTGTGACGGGTCAAGCCTTGTGTGTCAGCATTTTCGCACTCAGGATTGGTTGCCTTCGCTCTGCGTCCGGTGTGTGCGCCCCTCCTGGTACGAGGCGTGTAGTAGGAGAGGCCTTGTGGCCGCCTGCAGCCTTTCTTGGAGTGTCTCAGCCCCGCTGGCCTCCGGAAGCGGGCGCCACCCCCCCCCAGGTGCTGGATGATGTGGGGGTGCAGGGGCTTGCTGGCGGTGGGGGGCTCTCTGTGCGTTCCCTGGAAGTGCGGAGTAGGTGAAGACAGAGGCTGGGGTTCCGCTGAACCTGAGCAGTGTGAGAATGTTTCGGGTGACTAGAGAGTGGATCGGTGACTGTGGGTTTTGTTTGTTCCGTGAAACAGGGTAATTTTTGTTGAAACTTGCTTAGAAAGCCCAAGTGGGGAGAGAGAGAGTGTGTGTCTGAGAGAGAGCGTGGCCTTCTCCAGAGCGGAAGGAGACGGAAAGGCGAAGGGACAAGCCAGCCAGAGGCGCTCGGGCGAGTCTGATGCCGCGGCCGCTGGCGCCGACCCGTTGGCGGCAACTTCCTGTAGCTGTGCTTGGAAATTCAGGGGGAATGGATTCGACAGGGAGTTGATTTTTCCTGGTTTTCTTTTCTTTCCTAGGTCTTATCCAGCCCATTCCACGGAACCAGTTTCTCCAAAGTTATTTTAATAATAATTTTGTAAATGAAGCAGATAGACCCTACAAGTGTTTCTACTGTCACCGCGCATATAAAAAATCTTGCCACCTTAAGCAGCACATCAGGTAAGGCCCTGCTCAGTACCCAGGGCACAGGGCATCTACACACCTGGCGGGTAGGGGCTGGAGCAATAGCACAGCGGGTAGGGCGTTTGCCTTGCATGCAGCCGACCCAGGTTCGATTCTCAGCATCCCATAGGGTCCCCTGAGCACCGCCAGGAGTGATTCCTGAGTGCAAAGCCAGGAGTAACCCCTGAGCATCACCGGGGGTGACCCAAAAAGCAAAATAATAATAATAGTAATAATAATAAGCACCTGACAGGTAGGGCTGCTCAGGTCCCAGGGCATCGAAACACCTGTAGGGCTGGGGGTCTGGTGGATTTGTCAGGTGGTTCGGGACGGGGGACTGGGCGCATCAGCTCCTGGTATTTAAAATGCCGCATAGGCCCCGCAGTTGTGACACTCGGCATTTTTATGTTTTAGTGTCTTGACTTAAATACTTAGCCCCGATTCTGCCACCGGGTTTGAGCCCCCCTCCTGGTCTGGAGTGTGTTGCCCGTTGGAGCGCGAGGGCAGCTCAGGCTGTGCTGGCCGAAGGTGGTCAGTGCGGGTGGCCAGGCGTTTCGGGCGCCGTCTGGGTGGCGGCGAAGGTGCTGCCGGTGGGAGCGTGGCGGTGAGGGACTGAGGCCTCCGTGGCCGTCCGTGCAGGTCCCACACCGGGGAGAAGCCTTTCAAGTGCTCGCAGTGCGGCCGCGGCTTCGTCTCGGCGGGCGTGCTCAAGGCCCACGTGCGCACGCACACGGGGCTCAAGTCCTTCAAGTGTCTGGTCTGCAACGGCGCCTTCACCACGGGCGGCAGCCTGCGGCGCCACATGGGCATCCACAACGACCTGCGGCCCTACATGTGCCCCTACTGCCAGAAGACCTTCAAGACCTCCCTCAACTGCAAGAAGCACATGAAGACCCACCGGTGGGCGGGGCCAGGGGAGCGGAGGGATTGTCGGGTCACCTGCGGCGCGTCCCGGGCTCTCGGGCTGCTCTCCACCCTCGGGGCCAGCTCCGGGGGGGGGTTTTGCCTCTGATGTCTTTAGCCGGAGTCGGGCCAAATGCTTCTCGGCCTGTCTCAAAAGGCTCACCCGGAGCCCGGAGGCGGCCCAGGACCAGAGCACTTGCCTTGTCTGTTGAGGCCCTGAATTCGATTCCTGGCACCGCCAAAAACCAAATACAGGGTAGTCAGAAGTTAGACGCAAACGCAAAAGAGGTTTTTTCCTTTTAAATAGACGCAGAGCAGAAAGATTAGCGGCAGTGTCAAGGGCTGCCCGGTACGGCTAGGTGCCGAGGGTTCTGGGAGGAGAGTCCCGGGCAGCCGTGGCCGATCGCCCCGCGCCTCGCCCTCTTGCGGCTGACGCCCACCCTCCCTTCGCGAGCCGCCCTCGCTCCGGCCCGGCAGCCCCGGTCACGCGTGTGCTTGCCTCCCCGAAGCTACGAGCTCGCGCAGCAGCTGCAGCAGCACCAGCAGGCCGCCTCCCTGGACGACAGCGCCGTGGACCAGCAGAGCCTGCAGGTGGAGATGGAGAGCGGCGAGCTGCCGGCGCCCCCGCCGCCCGCCGCCGCCCAGCCCGACGGCCTGCTGGCGCTGGACTCGCAGCACGTCGTGGCCGCGGGAGAGCCGGGCCTGGCCCCGCAGCTGGCGGGGACGCCGCTGGAGGGGGACGAAGGTGCGGCACGGGGTGGTCCGGCTCCCCGCGGCCGCGGGCACGTGCGGGGGGGTCGCCTGTGCTGCCCCCGGGTCGGGAGCGGCTCTCGGCTCCCGGCTGCCCGCGTCCTGGCGGGGCCCCCGCGAGCACGGACGTGGGGGCGGCGCGGGCCGGCTGCGGGTGGGCTTGACGGGGCCTCGCCCTGTGCCCCTGCAGATCGCTTCGTGAGTCCTCAGCACAGCCTGCCGGGGCCGGCCGGCCAGTTCGAGGAGCAGGCGCCAGCGCAGTCCTTCGCCCCGGCCGCCTTGTCCCAAGGTCAGTGGCGCGCGCCGTGGCCCTTCCGGGCGTCTCTGTCCGGCAGGCCCCGGCGCTTCCTGGCCAGGCCACGCTGGCAGGCGCCGTCCGCGTGGGCACCGACGGGGGCGCTGCTGGGGCCGCGCGCATCCTCCACGAAGCGCTTCAGCCCCTCTCGGGAGTCTCCCGGCCGGGCGGGCGACTGGGAGCCCCTGTCACTGAGGTGCGGAGCAGGCCCCGTCCTCTGGACGCCCGCTCGTGGCTTCAGCCTGGCCCTGGCTCCAGGTCAGGCTCGGAGCTTGCTGTCACCTGCAGCTCCGGGCACTCGCTCTCACCTCCCGCACAGCGGCCGCTCTCTCGTCCCCTCACGGTCACTCTCGTGGCCCCTCTCAGCTCGCATTCACCTTCCGCAAAGAGCTCGCTCTCACGGTCCACACAGCTCACTTTCACTTTCCTTCACAGTCACTCTCACGTCCCCTACAGAGCACCCTCCCGCGACCCCAAGGAGAACTCATTCTCACATCCCGCGCAGAGCTCACTTCCACGTCCCCCCACAGAGCTCACTCACGCATCCCCTCGCAATTACCCTCATGTCCCCTCACAGTCACTCTTACGTTTCCTCACAGTCGCTCTCACGTGCCCTCACAGTCGCTCTCACGTCCCTATGCAAAGCTCACTCTCACGTCCCCTCACAGATCCCGTTCACATACCACACGGAGCTCACTTCACATCTCCTCACCACCACTCTCACGTTCCCCGATAATCACTCACGTCTTCTCACAGTCCCTCCCACGGCCCCACACAGAACCAACTCTGTCGTCCCCTCACAGATCACATTCACGCGCCACATAGAGTTCGCTCTCACCCCCCCTCACAGCTTCCTCCTAAGTACCCTCACGGTCACTCCCACGTCTCCTCACAATTCGCTCTCCTGGCCGCTCACACTCTCACGGCCCCACACAGCTCGCTCGCATCCCCTCGCGATCACACTCACGGCCCCTCCCGCAGCTGACTCGGACGTGCCCCCGTCCACACTCGCGCTCGCGGCCCCCGGCTCACGCGGACGCTCTTGCAGGTTTCCCGGTGGCCGACGCCTACGGTCAGCCGGCCGCGTTCCCGGCGGTCCAGCAGCTGCAGGACTCGAGCACGCTGGAGTCCCAGGCCCTGTCCGCCAGCTTCCACCAGCAGAACCTACTTCCGGTCCCCAGCGCTGACGCCATGAACGCGGTGAGTGCCCGGGGTGGGGGCGGCGGGCGAGGCTGTTCCCTGCGGGCTCGTCCCACGACGTCGGAGACGCTGCTTCCCTCGCGTTCTTGTCTGTGGGCCTCGCTCGGGTGCCGGGCCCAGTCGTTCCCAGCGAGGAGCCGGAGCTTGGGTGCTGGGGGTGAGGCCCAGCCCCCGCCCAGAGAGCGCGGGTGGCACCGCCACGCTCTGGAAGCGGCAGAGTTCACCCTCCTCGTCGGGGGCGGGGGGCTTCTGAGTTTTGCTTTTCACTTTTCCGAAAATCGTTTTCGAAGCGACGCCTTTTTGGCTCGCATGGCGACTTTTCCCTTCCTGGTTCGGTGCTGTCTCTCCTTGCGCGCTCGTTGGGCCCTCGTCGGCGGGGCGCTGGGTGAGACACGCGCAGGACAGACGCCCCCGCTCTCTCTCGCTCTGCCCAGCCTGGCAGCGGCCAGTCACTCGCTCTCTGAAGACGGCGCTTGCGGGCCTCGAGCCTCCGCCAGCCTGGAGTTTCCGGTGGCTCCGTGGCATGTGGGCAGCTGCCAGTGGCCCCAGCGCCTGGGCTCTGCTGCCCTCGGGCCCCTCACTGGGCACCCCGGGGTTCTACCAGCGGGTCTGGCTCCTGCAGTAGCTGGTCCCCCCCAGTGAGCCTGGGCGCTTGGGGTGTTCCCAGGCCCCGGGCACCTCCTCACCCCTTTCTTGCTGTGTCGGTGAGGTCAGGCCCGTGGCCCTGCTGCTCCCGGCGTGGGAGGCGTCCTGTCAGCTGTCGGGCCGAGTGCGGAGACGTCGTTCCCAGGGAGGAGCCCCGTGTCCACTCTCAGTGTGGACGCACTGTGCGTGTGCCCTAGGACGATTCCTGGAAGGGTCCGCGCGGAGCCTGGAGTTGGGAAAGGGCCGCCAGCGCTGGTCAGCGCTGCTTGGGCTCTCTGTGCTGACCTGTCCATGCTCAGGGTGTCTGCTCCGTGCTTGTCACATTCCAGACGCCTCACCTGATCCAGGAGTCCTCCCAGGAGGAGTTGGACTTGCAGGCCCCGCGCACCCACTTCCTGGAGGCCAGTGAGGACCAGAGTCGGCGCTCGTACAGGTGGGTCCCTGCGTGGGGTCTCAGGAAGCGTGGCCCCACTCACCCTGCAGACGGCTCAGATGGGGCTCTGAGGGCACGGCCCCCCACCCGCCTGCCCTGCAGATGGGGGCTCCGGCATGGAGACAACCCCTACCCCACAGTGGGACCTGCCACATTGGCTCCCGTCCTGCCACAGTCACACGCGCTTTTGCCCAGGACGGGCTGGCGCGTGTGTCTGTCTGGGCGCCCCGCGTGCAGCTGGCCCAACACCTCCCCCCAAAAGGGTAAAAATGTGCTTCTTTGATGTTTTAAATGATGCTTAAGAGAAACTTGGAAATGTACATTTATACCCCTTTTGGGGAGGTGTTGGGCCAGCTCTCAGTAGTGCTCAGGGCTGGCTCCCGGCTCTGTGCTCTGGGATCAGGGTGGGGCTCGGGGTCGTATGCGGTGCCGGGAATTGGACCATAAAGAGCCTCGCGGGGGCTTGGCCCAGACAGCCGTGCAGACCGTGCTGCGCACTCGCCTCGAGAGCCCCGGGAGCATCTGCGCGGCGTGCTCGGACCCGGAGGCAGGGAAACTCAGCGGTGCTCTCTGCGCGCTGTGCCCCCGTTACGGGAGCAGAGACCGGGGCTGCAGGAGCCGGCCGGGGGCGCGACCCCCAGGCCACGGCCGTGTCTCCTGTGGCGGCAGGTGCGACTACTGCAGCAAGGGCTTCAAGAAGTCCAGCCACCTGAAGCAGCACGTGCGCTCGCACACCGGGGAGAAGCCCTACAAGTGCAAGCTCTGCGGCCGCGGCTTCGTCTCCTCCGGCGTCCTCAAGTCCCACGAGAAGACACACACGGGTGCGTGTTTGCCCCCCAGAGGTCCCTCCCGCCGCCCCTTCCTGTGCCAGGCTTCGTCCCGCGACCCCTGCCCGCGTGGGGCTCAGGTCTTCTTTCCGTGTCACCTCGGCCTGTGGCGTCTGGACTGGGCCTGCCTTGCCCCGGGAGTCTGTCCCCGCTGCCGTGTGTCCTGGCGTGTCCTGGCCGTGCCGGGAGGGGCCGCTGCCCGCTCCCGGGCTCGACGGCGTCTCTGTGACCACAGATGCTGCTCGGCACTCTTTCATGTTCTGTCTGTTTCGCTTTCGTGTCGCACTCGACAGTAGTTGTGGGCCCCTCCTAGGTCTGCTCTGAGATGGCGGGGGCACTTGGTGACCCCCCCAACACACAGCTGCTCTCCGGCCTTCCGCTGTCCCCCCAGTCCCCTTCGTTTCCCGGCTGAGAGCTGTCCGTGGAAGCAGCCCCTGTCGTGGATTATTTGTGCTCTTCCCGTTGACTCAGCAAGGGTTTCCCCGTGTGTGCTGTGCTCTAAGGGTGCTCGTCTCAGTCGCTCTCGGTGACGTGTCTGTGGGACAGTGGTATGTGTCGTGTCAGTCTACCCGGTTCTGTCCATCCGCGTCCCACACAGCACTTTGCTAGGAAGTAAAGGGCGAGGGGGCTGGAGACACGGGTGGGCGCCTGCTTGCGCGTGCCAGACCTGGGTTTGGTTCCTGGAGCCCCGTGTGGTCCCCCCAGCCTGCCAGGAGTAACCCCTGAGCATTACTGGGGGTGCCATAAAGACCCCCCATAAAGACGGTAAAGGTATAAATGCCCCCCACATTCACCTCGACGCGTGGTCCCCGTTGGTGCTCGGGAGCACTGTCTCCGCGCGGGAGGGACGAGGGCAGGTGTGCGGTGCCTAGCTCCTGCAGCTCCCAGCTCTCCTCAGAAGGTCGCACCCCAGGGGCTTCTCCTCTCTCAGGCTTTGTGGGGCGACCTAGTGGGAGTCGCACAGGGCGCCCGGGGGGCCCAGGCTGCGGGGAGGAGGACGGACAGGAGAGGGCATGGCCGGGCTGGGCCCCAGACGGGGGTTCGGGACGTCCCCTCGCCCCCGTGAGGTGCGCCTGGGTCCCGGCTGCCGAGGGGCTGAGGGCCGTCCCCTTGTCGCAGGCGTCAAGGCGTTCAGCTGCAGCGTCTGTGACGCGTCCTTCACCACCAACGGCAGCCTCACGCGGCACATGGCCACGCACATGAGCCTGAAGCCCTACAAGTGCCCCTTCTGCGAGCAGGGCTTCCGCACCACCGTCCACTGCAAGAAGCACATGAAGCGGCACCAGGCCACCCCTGCGGCAACGGCGGCCACGGGAGAGGCCGAATCAGGAGGTACAGTGCTGGCCACCACGTCCGGCCCCCGGGGGGCTGAGTCCTGCTCCCAGTGCGACAGGTGTCCAGGACTGCAGGAGGCAGGAGAGGATGGCGGGCCCTCAGCCTGCCCCCACGAGGAGATCAGCACGGCCCCTCCCCACACTCACACACGCACACACTCACATGTGCACACTTGCACACATGCACACTCATGCGGTTGCACACATGCACACACACACTTGCACATACACACATGCGCGCACACACGCACGGGTGCACATGCACGCAGTCACACACAGTCACACCATGCACACACACACGCTCACTTGCACACACACATGCACACAGTTGCATACATGCACACACGCAGGTGCGAGGGTGGAGCTTTAGCGAGACACTGAGCTCCACGCAGTGGGACCCTCCATGTCCCCCGCTGAGGGCTGCTCTAGGCACAGGTTCAGTCAGGCCACGGGCCTTCCCGGCACGATGTGGCGCGACCTCTCCCGACATGGACCCACAGCGGCCATTCAGCTGCGGCCACCGTCCTCAGGCCCCACTTCCCTGCCCGACGGGCGCTTTTCCTCTGCCCTTGGTCTCAGGCACTGAGAGGGGTCCCCGGTGGGCACTGCCCGGAGCACACGTCTCCCAGCAGCAGTGCTCGGCACCTCTGCTCTTGGCTTCCGGCAGGCCCGGGCGTGAGGTCGCTGTGCTGAGTGGCCGCTGCAGGCACACCCGTCCTGGGAGTCGTTCCCAGCCGGGCGGGGCCAGGGCTCTGTCTGCAGCCATCCTGATGGCGGGAGCCCCTGCAGCACTGTGTCCTGGGTCTGGCTCCCCGCTCCTGTTTCCGTAGAGGGGCAGTAACGGAGTTTCAAGGAGCTGCAGACCCACCCCCCACGTCAGGGTCCCTCCCCCAGCCCTGCCCCGACTCCACAGGCTCGTTTTTAAGATGATCATGATGGTGCCTGGGTTTTAGCGCACGCTCACCACCTCGACCAGTGTCCCCCGGCCCCTCCTCACCTGACACGCTCCCTGTGCCCCTCTCGCTCTCCCCCTTTCTCTCTCCCTCCTTTCCTTCTCCCTCTCTCTCGCTCTCTCGCTCTCTCGCTCTCGCTCTCTCCCTCTCTCTGTCCCTCTCTCTCTCTCTGTCGCTGACTATCTCCTGGTTTCTGACTGTCTCTTGGACTTTGTCTCCCGGTTTCTCCTGGATTTTGTCTCCGGCCGTCCCTGGTCCTGGCTGGCTGTCCTGCTGTCCCGCTGTTGCGCTCCTTCTGTTGTCACTGCTCTCGCTCTGTCTGCTGTGTTCTGGGTCACTTTGAAGTTCAGGGCATGATCCCCCTGCATTTCTGCCGCTCACTTCCCACTGCCCCGCGTCTCTGTAGGTTTCGTTCACGTCAACTCAAGGTTCATCCGTCATACTTCCTTTTGGAGTTCCTTTCTGGGCCTGTCCTCCGTGGCCACCGTCTCCTCTCTCCCACCCTCTTCTCCTTCTCCCCTCCTGTCTCTCCCCTCCCTTCCCCGTTTATTCTAAGCAAAACCACCCAGCTAGCGTGAGACGTCACTGATTCGGGCTTAGCCACTGTCCAGGCCGCTCGCCGTTCCCTTGACGTTCCTCAGACTGAGCCATCGTGCCTTCAGCCGAAACCAGCTAAACGGTTGTCCTTCTCCGTTGGCACCTGATGGCAGCCCGTCGTCGTCCCCGTGCGTGCGCACGCTCGGCTGAAGGCGGCCACCCAGTCCTGCCTTTTCCTCCTTCCCATGAGCCCGTCACTGCGGCCGCCTGCTGGCTGCGGGGCTGGCTCCCTGAGGGCGCTGTGTTCTCGCGACCCGGTCCCCCGTGTCCTTGCTGGTGCCGCCCAGCCGGCCCCACCCGCAGCCTGCGTCTCGGCGGAACCAAGACCCTTCACCTCTCGTGGCAGCTCGGCTGTGTTTCCCGTCGTCGTTGAGACGCACTATCTCGTTTTTTTAGGAACTTGGTTTTTAGTTTTGGGGTTCCCTCGTTGTTCACTCAGACATGTGCCTGGAGGAGGAAGAGGAGAGCTCGGACAGAGGCGCTCTGCGGAAGGCGCGGCCCGAGGTCATCACGTTCACGGAGGAGGAGACGGCGCAGCTGGCCAGGATCCGGCCGCAGGAGAGCGCCACGGTGTCCGAGCAGGTGCTCGTGCAGTCGGCCGCCGAGAAGGACCGCATCAGCGAGATGAAGGACAGGCAGGCGGAGCTGGAGGCCGAGCCCAAGTACGCCAACTGCTGCTCGTACTGCCCCAAGAGCTTCAAGAAACCCAGCGACCTCGTCAGGTGCGTCACCGCCGCGCCGCGCACCCGGGCTGGGCTGAAGCCGCACACGCTCGCTCGCGGCCTCCTGCCCGGCCCGGCCCTCGGGCCCAGCGAGGCTTCCTTCGGAGCTCCTTCGTGGTCCGGGACTCGCTTTCCTGGAGGCTGTGCCTGGCTCGGTGGTCGTGGGGGTAAGAGAAGGGAGGGTCAGTTCTCCGTCTGATCTGATTCTCTCGGCCCAGAGCTGCCGGGTGAGCGGGAGGCCGCAGAGACGAGGCGTGAGCGTGTCGGCAGGGAGGGGGCGTGGGCAGAGGGGGGCCGGGGACACTTGGGGCGCAGCGCGCCATGAGCGAGTCCCGCCTGTGGACAGTCCGGACGATGGGGCGTGGCTGCAGCCGGCGACCCGTCCTCACCCCCTGAGCTGGCCCCAGCCTGCTGGGCGCCCGGCAGTTCTCACCTGCCTTCTGACGGGCACCCAGCCGCTTTGTTTCCGTTTGTCCCGCGGGTCTGGGGTAGTCACTGGGGCGTCCGTGATGTGTCTGTGTTGAGTTCGGCGAAACATTTCCATCTCACGAATTTCATCCAGCCCAGAGTCCGCGTGAGGTCTTTGTCCGCGTGGCTAGTGGCCATTCAGAGCCCCAGCGTCCTCTGTGCGGTGAGAGGACGCTCACGCGCTGCTCTCTGACCAGGCACGTCCGGATCCACACCGGGGAGAAGCCGTACAAATGTGACGAGTGCGGGAAGAGCTTCACGGTCAAGTCCACGCTGGATTGCCACGTGAAGACGCACACAGGTGGGTGCGGCCCTTCCACCGCCCTTCCCCTGCGCCCGGCACACCTCCAGGAGGCAGAGCGCTGAGGAGCCGGGAGCCAGGCAGGAGCACATCCTGTGCGGGCTGCTGACTGGGGGCACGTGGAATGAGTCCCTCCGATCTGCGGGTGCGGGCACTGAACCAAGCCGGGGGCAGCGGCAGGTGTCAGCTGCCCCTCGCACTCCTCCTCAGGGCTCCCAGACACCACCGGCCTGCCGCGCACCGGGGTGGTGTCGGCCCAGGCCCTACATGCCAGCACGGTCTGTGTTGCCTGTGTGTCTGTGCGGTGTGGACAGATGGGCCGGTCAGCGCTAGCCTGCGGTGTAGACAGGCCGGAGAGCCCTGGGGGGCACTGGCCTGTAGTGTAGACAGATAGCAAGAGAGCACTGGCCTGCAGTGTGGACAGATGGGCCGGTCAGCGCTGGCCTGCGGTGTAGACAGGCCGGAAAGCCCTGGGGGGCACTGGCCTGTAGTGTAGACAGACAGCAAGAGAGCACTGGCCTGCAGTGTGGTGGACGGGCTGGGGGGCGCTGACCGGAGACTCTGAGCCCTGCAGCCGTCGCCTCCGGGATCCCGGGACTCCCTGTAGGGGGTCTCAGTGGGGCCCCCCGCCACCGTCTCCGCTCGCCCGCCCCGCAGGTCAGAAGCTGTTCAGCTGCCACGTGTGCTCCAACGCCTTCTCCACCAAGGGCAGCCTGAAGGTGCACATGCGGCTGCACACGGGCGCCAAGCCCTTCAAGTGCCCGCACTGCGAGCTGCGCTTCCGCACGTCTGGCCGCCGCAAGACCCACATGCAGCTGCACTACAAGGGGGACCCCAAGAAGGCCCGCAAGCCCGTGGCCCGGGGCTCCCCCGAGGGGCTGCCGCCCGGGAGCCTCCTCAGCCCCTCCCCCGCCGACTCCAGCGTCCTCATCATGAACAACTCGGTCCTCACGGGGCAGCTGGACCAGAGTCTGCTCCAGCCGGGGCTGGTGGGCCAGGCCATCCTCCCCGCGTCCATGTCGGGTAAGGCACCCGCGGGCCTAGTTCTCTTCCGTCGCGGGCACCCCCACGCCCCCCAGCCCCGCCGTCCCCGCCCCCTCTCAGCTCTTTGGGTCCGTCCTTGACCGGGTTTCCCTGGCACTCTCCCAGCCCAGGCGCACTGGCCGCCGGGCCCTGAAGCAGGCAGAGCAGCCGTGGCCTCTGGCTGGTGGGGCCCGTGGGGAACGTGGCATGGCTTCGCCGGCGCCTCACAGCCCCGCACCCTGCCAGGAGTCTGACTTCCCCCACACCCGGCAGTGCTCGGCTGAGTCTCGGCTCTGTGCTCAGGGGTCCCTCCTGGCTGGACTTAGGGGGCATTTGTGGTGCCCAGGATCGAACTGGGTTGGCTGCGTGCAGGGCAGGTGCCCGACCTGTTTTCCGGCCCGCCAGCCTACCTCCTGGATGCAGACGGGGGCACCGCTGCCCCGCATTGTACCCGGAGGCTGCGGCCACTTCCTGTTGGTCCCCGGGGGGCAGCTGTGCCCACACGCTGCTTCAGCCCTGGCCCCCGCAGCTGTGGGCTCCCCGTGCAGCGTGCCAGGAGGTGCCTTCGTGATCACCGGCTGTCGCTCGCTCTCCTCCCTGTAGCCAGCGGCGACTGGACTGTGTCCCTCACGGACGGCAGCCTGGCCACCCTGGAGGGCATCCAGCTGCAGCTGGCCGCCAACCTGGTGGGGCCCAACGTCCAGATCTCCGGGATCGACGCCTCCAGCATCAATAACATCACGTTACAGGTGCGCTGCCCGCGTGGGGCCCCGTCCCCCACCCACGCTGCCGTGAGCCTGCCCCCTGCCTCCCCAACACCCGTGTCCACTGCTTTCCAGATTGACCCGAGTATTCTGCAGCAGACGCTCCAGCAGAGCAACTTGCTGGCCCAGCAGCTGTCCGGGGAGTCCAGCGCGGCGCCCCCCAGTGGCAGCTCCCTGCAGACCCCGGACAGCACGGTCCCGGCCAGCGTGGTCCTGCAGCCCATCTCAGGCCTGTCCCTCCAGCCCACCGTCACGGCCGCCAACCTGACCATCGGGCCACTGTCCGAGCAGGACTGTGTGCTGGCCGCCGGCAGCACCGGTAAGAAGCCACCATCCGCTGGCAGCACCGGGGCCGGGGCCCGCCGGGAGGGCGTTGGCCTTGCACGCGGCTGACCCGGGTTTAGTCCCCGCGTGCAGAGCTGGGGTCAGCCCAGCACCTCGCCAGGGTGGCCAGTGACTAAGCAAAACCCACTCAGCCCCGGCAGCTCGGCTCTGGCTGAGGCCACCTGCGCGGCCTGTGCTCAGGCCTCACTTTCCTCAGGGACAGGATGGCCGCGCTGGCTTGGGCTCCCCCGGGGCTGCTCCTCTCCAGGCCGGGACTGACTCAGGGAGCATTGGGCTGGCCCCGGCCGCCCTTAGCCAGCGCAACTCTGTAACTCTGTTCTCTTGTCATGCTGACCAGGAGCCCAAGACCTGTCTCAGGTGATGACCTCACAGGGCCTGGTGTCCACCTCCGGCGGCCCCCACGAGATCACCCTGACCATCAATAACTCCAGCTTGAGCCAGGTGCTGGCGCAGGCTGCCGGGCCCCCCGCCGTGTCCTCCTCGGGCTCTCCTCAGGAAATCACCCTGACCATCTCTGGTTAGTGGTTCATGGCGCCAGCGTCTTTCCTCATGATTTCTGTGTCACCTTTTCCTGGGACTGGCCCCTGCCTGGGAACTGCGCATGCTCTGGGTGCTTCTGCCTCTCCCCGGGATTGGCTATGTGCCCGGGAGGGGAGGCAGAGTGGTCGTTCCGGGCAGTGCCGGGACCTTGGCCCCTTCTCCTGTCACCGTGCCCGGGGCAGAGCGGTGGAAGGTGGGCTGAGTGTTGGGCGGCCTGGGGCCACTGGGCGAGGGGGACTTGTGGCTCCTTCCCTGTCCTGCAATTTGCTGATGACCTCCTGAGGTGCATGGGGTCCCGACTGCATCCCGGCGGGGTCCCAGCTGGTCCCATTTGGGGTCCCAGTGGGGTCCCAGCTGGTCTCGGCAGGACGTGATTCTGAGAATCACCGTCGGAGTTCGGCAGTGGGTGGGCCATGTTTCCCTGTCTCTGTCTCCCAGGAAGGGGCTGACTGGCCGGCGGAGCCTGGCCCGGGAGGAGAGTCCCTGCTGGCCGGGGCGGGACGTGACCCCCTGAGCTGGCTTCTGTCCCTTTCCCAGAGCTGAACGCTGCCGCCGGGAGCCTCCCACCAGCCACCCCGCTGTCCCCGTCGGCCGTGCCCGCGCCGAGCCTGCTCATGTCCTCGGGTGTGGGCGGAGACGCCAGCCTCACGCTGACCCTGGCCGACACTCAGGGCCTGCTCTCCGGCGCGCTGGACACGGTCACGCTCAACCTTGCCTCTCAGGTGGGTGCAGGCCCTGTGCAAGGCTCCCGGAGACCCCATCCACGCCCCCATCCTCTCGCCTGTCGTCCGGACAGTCCCTTCCTTGGCGTTTCCACTGCTGAGCGCAGGGAGGAGAAGCCAGAAGCCCGGGTGCTGGCGGGGGAGGGCCAGGCCGGCCTCCCCGGGCGTTTCTGGCACAGGGACGCGCCCTTGGCCGTGCACCTGTCCTGCCTTCCTGGCGGTGACTCTCCCCTCCCCGGCCCTTGAGCCGTGGGAAGCTCATTAAGGGCGGGAGTGGTCGGGCGCCCTGTGCAGTGTGCGGGTCTGGGTGCCCTGGCACGGCCGCCGGGCCTCCTTTCGAAGGACGCCCTGGCCCTCTTTTTTGTGAGCGGTCTGCGCCCCTCACACCCTGGCCCTGCTCTGCTTCTGCTGCTCCCTGGGGCCGGGGCGTGGGCTGGGAGGTGGTTGCAGCCCGTACTGGGCCGGGCGTGGCAGGCGTGAGGCCACGGAACAGCGCACGTCGCTGGCTTTGCGGCTGCCCCCGACACGCGTGGTCTCTGCAGGGCCAGCAGCTCCCCGCCTTACTCACGGACCCCGCACTCTCTGGCCACGGCGCCGCGGGCTCCTCGCAGGTCATCCTGGTGAGCCACACCTCGCAGCCGTCGTCTGCCACGTGCGAGGAGATTGCCTACCAGGTACCCGGGGCGGCCCCCGGCCCGGCCCTGTCCCAGGGGGCTTCCGTCGCCATCTTGGGCTCAGCCCCGCCCCTGTGCCCCTCACAGGTCGCCGACGTGGCCACCAGCCTGGGCCCGGGCGGGCCCGCCGAGAAGGAGGGCCGGCTGCAACCGTGCACCGAGTGCGGGCGCAGCTTCCCGTCGGCTGCACTGCTCCTGCAGCACAGCCGGGAGGCGCACGGGCGGGAGCGCATCCACGTCTGCGCGCTCTGCAGGAAGGCCTTCAAGCGCGCCACGCACCTCAAGGTACGGACGCCCCGGCCCAGACTCCGCGGGGGACCTCAGAGTGCCCGGCCCGTTGGCCTCATGCTCCCCGCCTCTGGGGCCCGTGTGGCGGCGCGGTCGTGCGGCTGGGGGCTAGCCCACTCGGGAGAGGGGCTGTGGGGGCCACGGCGGGACCGAGAGGCCTGAGGCCCGAGGGCGGGGCGTCGTGCCTCACAGACAGCCCGGCTGCTGTTGTGTTTGGGGTTCGGGCCCGAGACATATCTCGGCAGGTTGGAGCCTGCAGGAGCCTGTACTCAGCCCCTGGTATCACATACGGCCCCCTGAGCACTGAGCCAGGAGCGACCCCTAGCCCAGCTGCCAGCCCTGGTTCCCTCCAGAACAAGGTTTGGGATTGAGAGACTTAGGTCGTGCTAGGAAGTAACAAGAGACACCGTGAGCGGGCCGGCCCCAGAGCCCGCCTCCCCCACGGGGACAGTCGGAGGCGGTGTGAGAGATGCACATGGACCCCCGGACATGGGGTTGCTGTCCTGGTGCGCTCAGGGTCCCGGGGGCAGCCCCAGCGTCGGGGCACAGGGACAGTCCATCGGCCAGGGAGGGAGGGAGGGTACCCGCTGCCTGCTAGCCCGGGCCGGCCTTGGGGGCCGAGGGACCGGGCACCCGGGCTGACCCGGATCGGCAGCCCCCAGCGCTGTCCTCGCTCCTCGCAGGAGCACATGCAGACGCACCAGGCGGGCCCCTCCCTCAGCTCACAGAAGCCACGCGTGTTCAAGTGTGACACGTGCGAGAAGGCGTTCGCCAAGCCCAGCCAGCTGGAGCGCCACAGCCGCATCCACACAGGTGAGGCCGCGCGGCGCTCTGGGCAGCCGTGACCCTGGCGGGACGCGCGCTCAGCCCGTGGGCCTCGCGGCCCGGGCGCCCGAGTCCTTCGCTCGGGCACAGCCCGGGTGGCCAGCGCGCTGCCGGGGCCTGACGGTGCGCGTTCCCGCAGGCGAGCGGCCGTTCCACTGCGCGCTGTGCGAGAAGGCCTTCAACCAGAAGAGCGCGCTGCAGGTGCACATGAAGAAGCACACGGGGGAGCGGCCCTACAAGTGCGCGTACTGCGCCATGGGCTTCACGCAGAAGAGCAACATGAAGCTGCACATGCGGCGCGCGCACAGCTACGCGGGTGAGCGGCCGGGCGGGTGGGGCGGCGGGGGCGAGGGGAGGCGGCCCGGCCGCGGGGCTGACGCCGTCACGGTCTCCCGCCGCAGGCCCCTTGCAGGCGGCTGCCGGCCCGCAGGAGCAGACCGGGGAGGAGCTGAGCCGGACCCTCCACCTGGAGGAGGTGGTGCAGGAGTCGGCCAGCGAGTGGCAGGCGCTGACCGACGTGTTCTGACGCCGCCGGACCCCACCCTGACGCTGCAGCTGCTGGGCGTGGAGAGCGAGGCCCGTGGAGCCCCCCGCCCCCCGAAGCTTCAGGTGTTGAGAACGTTCCCGCGGCAACGTTTTAGCTCTCCGTTACCTAAGGAATCATTGTCTTTCAGAGACTGCAGGGAAGAAACTGGGGAAATGTGAACACGTGGTTGTCGCTTGTCCACAAATCACTGAACTCAGGTACTCCCACGGGCGGCGCTGCTGCCTGCGTCCTCCACGGCCAGTTGACTGGACCCTGCTATCGTGTCGTGTGATTTCCTTGTCTCAGCAAAGAGGGAAGCCGACGTGGGAAGGCCCCGCGTTTCCTTCGTGCTTCCCGTTCTGAGAAGCAGAGCTCGCGAGACCCGCTGGGGACGGTGCCCGGGGCGGCGTCCTGGGCACTCGGAAGTCGGTAGGCACGGAACTCGGCACGCTGCCCGCGCTGGCACCTTGGGCGGTGGCGGGGCCACCCTCTCTCCACCACGGCGAGTGGCCATCAGAACCAAAAGGCAGTGTCCGGGTGTGGACTCGGGGAGGGAGCAGACCTGACACGGGATGAGGGTCGCGTGTCCCTCGCGGTGACGCCACACCTGCTCGTGACGGGCCTTCAGGCGCGCGGGGCCGGCGGCCGCAGAAAGCACAAGCCATACGCTGCAGGCCCGAGGGTGGTGGCCTGGCCCTGGCCACCCGCCGCCCCGGGGCCGCTGCAGAGTCTGAGCGAAGAGGCCTCGTGCGCCCCGCCGCCGTCTCGTGCGTCGGCAGATGGACTTTTCATTTCAGGGAATTCCTTAGTATCATCAATGGTGCCACATTAAACCTGTCGCAAACCAAATCCCAGCCCGTGCCGGGGCCGAGGGCGCGTCCTCCGCAGCATTCCAAAGACGGAACGTTCTGGACTCGACGGGAACCTCTCCTTGGCCGTTATTTATATGTTCTCTCTAGAATACCTGTGTACATAGACGCGCGGCCCTGTGTGGCTGACAGTGTTTGTAAATAACGCACTCGCCCGGGCGCCGCCGGTCAGTATTGGGCTCGGGCGTGGGGACGGCCCCTGCGTTGTCACGGAGACGAGCGGATGCTCTGTGGCGAGGGTTTCGTTTTCCTGAAGAATAATTGCCTTTATTTTCTCTCATTGCCTCCCTGGTTTCCGAAGAGAGTAGTTTATTATAAATGTTGTATGGACTTTGTACATTCTGAAGAAAGACTTTTCACCATTATTTTTTTGAAAGGGCATCTTTTGATTTTTTTGTTGTTCACTTTTGGCATCTGTATATAAGTGATATTGATGGTGATATAAACCCTTTTGTTATGTGAAAATATTTAAGTCAGAAAACTGTTAAATAATATTACTTTTTATCAAACTGCTTTGTGTATCGCATATTTTTTAAGGGGGAAAAGCCTTATTTGACTGATTCTTGTGATACTGGACTTACTCTATGTCCTAAGTTTTTTCATGAATGTTACTGTGTGTACCTGGCTGTCGTCAGTATATTCAGAACAATGGTGATTGTGCCAGAGTTTTAAAGGTTCTACTTTTTAAAATGCACTTTTTTCCTTACAATTTTATATTTAAATATTTTAGAAATGTTGATTTTGATGAACAAATATCCCCAAAGTTGAAATGATCGGATTTAAAAATTTTTGTTCTTGCAAGTTAATTTATTTTGGTTTTCCTCATTAAATGCCACCTCAGGACAGTCTCCAAGGGTCCCGTTCCTAATCGTCCAGAAAGCAGAGTCAAGAGAACTGTATCGGTGAGCTGCCTGCTAAGTAAGGCCTTACCACGTGAATTTAAAACCTATTCTTATTTTGGTTAAAAAAATAAAAGAATAATCTTTTGTGAGAATTAGTTCGCAAAAAAGGACATCAGTAGATTCGTTTGATTTTCTTCCGACTCTTCAATGCTGCTTCTTTGGGGAACATTCCTCAGAAATGTCAGGTTTCATCCAGGCACAGTTTCCCCTGGGCCTGTGCTGGTGTCCGGGCCCGCCTCTGGCCTTAGCGCCGGCTGACCTGTCTTCTGACAAGACAGTCTAGTCTCCTGCATAACCAGGGTTTCGAGGGCAGATACCTGTATTTTCAGAGTCTCATAGCAAATCTGCTTTGGAATAACAATAAACAAAAAATGAAGTCAGGACATGTGATCAGTTTTTTTCCTCTGAAGTATTGGTCACTGTGCTCTGCCACCCGGCTGTTGGCTCAAGTCCCCGCCAGCAGCGTTGGTGGGGTCAGACCCGGGGCCTGGGGACAGTGTCCTCTCCCAGCAGGGCTCTGTGTGCAGGCCATGGTGGGCAGCAGGAGAGGCCACGTGGAAGTGGCCATGCGTGTCCAGCCAGGAGCAGATGAGGCCTTGGGAGCCCAGACAGCAGGCCCCGGGCCCGTCCCCCGGCAGGGTGAAGCACGCGTGCACACGGGTGCCCGTTCCCGGCGGGCCTGGACTCTCGTCTGTCTGGGGACCACTTCCACCTGGACCCAGGCGCCGCTGGTCAGGCTCCTGCCAAGTACCCAGGTCTTGCCCACAGCCCGAGCTAGCCAAGCCTGTGCGTGAGTGACAGAAACCTTGGTGAGCGGAAGGGGTGTGCGTGTGTGTTGGTGTGTGTACACGTGCGTGGTCCACAGGCAGGGCTCAGGTAAGGGCACACAGCTGCCCCCTAGTGGCAGAACTTGTGCAGCCCGCCAAGATGCATGCTGGGTCCAGTAAGTGACCGTGGCTCAGACTTGTCTTGGACACATTTTTTTTTTTATCTTTGGGGTCACATCACCCAGGGGGAGGCTTGAGGGACCCTGGGGCAACTGTGTGTCAGGCAAACCCCTGCCTGCTACTATTGCTCCCACCCAGAGCTCTTTCGGGAACCTCAGAATTGTTGGTGGCGCAGACGTGGATGCTGTTTCCTTAACCCAGTGCTGTCTCAGAAGTGGGTATCTAGGGCCACGGCAGGTCCGTGGGCTGTGCGTGTGCAGCAGTTTGCTGAGAGTGAGGGCCGGCGTGTCGATGTCTGGGGGACATTCGCCTGTGTCTGCTGATCGGAGGGACGTGGGAGTGGAGAGCCAGCTCCCGGGGTGCTGCCTCTTAGTGGCTTCCAGAATCGGGGCAGTGAGGGGGGACCGGGGCACCCCTGGTCTTGGCTGTGGAGACGACGGGTGTGCCGGTGGCTCTTTCCTGCATCTCCCGCATCACAGCGCCCAGCCCAGTCACTATCGGCGGAGTTCAGGTGCTGGACGACAGCCCGCGTGTCCCCTTCTGTGGCGCTGGGCCTCATCAGGGCCCCCGCCCCCAGGGCTCCCAGTGTGAAGCGACCCTTGGCCCTCAGTCGCTTGTCTCCGCCCCCTGTGCTCCCTCCACACTATCTGGGGAGATGACAGAGAAGCTGCAGGAGCATGCGGGGACCTGCCCGTTACGAGCACCCCAGCTTCTGGCACGGGCCACTCGGGCCCGCAACCTGAGAAGCCACCGCCCACTTCCAGACTGTTCTGTGGGCCCGGGGAGCTGGGGGGGAGCCGCCCCTCATTCCCTGGCTGAGCCCCAGTCTGCAGCCTGCAGCGGGTGGGGAGATTCCTGCTGTCCCCTCAGCCCCTCTCTCCCCTCAGCCCCATTCTCATCCCTCTGCCCCGTTCTCTCCTCTGCCCCGTTTTCTCCCCTCAGCTCCACACTCCTTCCTCAGCCTCGTTCTCCCTCCTCAGGTCCATTCTCTCCCCTCCGTTCCCTTTTCTCCCCTCAGCCCCATTATCTCTCCTCAGCCCCATTCTCCACTCAACCCAGTACTTGCCTCAGCCTCATTCTCCCCTCAGCCCTGTTCCCCTCAGCCCAGTTCCCTCAGTCCTCTTCACCCTTCAGCATCATCCTTGCCTTGAGCCCTATTCTCTTCCTGAGCCCCGTCCTCTCTCCTTAGCCCCATTGTCCACCTAGCCCAGTTCTTGCCTCAGCCTCATTCTCCCCTTAGCCCCCCTTCTCCCTTCAGCCCTGTTCTCTCCCCTCAACCCCATTCTCTCTCCTCAGCCCCATTCTCCAATCAGCCCAGTTCTCACCTCAGCCTCATTCTCCACCTCTGTCCCCCTCTGCCCTCAGCCCTGTTCTCCCTCAGCTCCATTTTCTCCCCTCAGTTCCCTTCTCCCCTCAGCTCTATTTTGCTCTCTTTGCTCAGCCCAGTTCTCTCCCCTCAACTTTTGTTTCCCTCTCAGCCCTGCTCTTCCTCAGCCTCCCCTTTCTATCCCTTCAGCTTCATTTCCCCTTCAAACTCATTCTCTCCCCTCAGCCCATTCTCCCCTTAGCCTGGTTTTCCCCCCAGCCTGTTCTCTCAGCGCAGTTCACCTCAGTTTCTTTCTTAGCCCCATTCTCTTTCCAATTCTCACCTCAGCCTCATTCTCCCCATCCACCCCCTCTCCCTCAGGCTTGTTCTCTTCCCCTCAGCCCTGTTCTCTTCCTCAGCCCTGTTCTCCCCTCAGCCCCATTCCCTCCCTTTAACCCTGTTCTCCCTTTACCTCAGCTCCTTTCTTCCCTCAGCCCTGATCTCTCCACTCAGCCCTGCTGTCTCTCTTCAGCTGCATTTTCTGCTCAGCCCCGTTTTCCCTCAGTCCTTTTCTTCTCAGTCCTGTTCCCTTCAACTCTGTCCTCCCTCTCCTCCGTTCTCTCTCCCCTCAGCCCCATTCTTCCCTTAGCTTCATTCTCTTCCTCAGTCCCATTCTCTTCCCCTCAGCCCCATTTCTTGCTCAGCCCAGTTCTTGCCTTAGTCATGTTCTCACCTCAGCTCTATTCCCCTCAGCTCTGTTCTTCCTCAGTCCCATTCTCTCACTTCAGCCCCGTTCTCCTCTCAGCCCTGTTCTTCCTCACCCCCATTCTCTCCCCTCAGTCCCGTTCTTCCCTCATCCCAGTTCCCCTTGACCCCATTCCCCACTCAGCCCAATTCTCACCTCAGCCCTGTTCCCTTCACCCCAGTTCCCCCTCAGGCCCATTCTAATCTCTCAGCCCTGTTCTCTCCCTTCAGCTCCCGTCTCCCCTTGACTTTGTTTTCCCTTCAGCCTTATTCTCTCCCCTCAGCCCCATTCTCCCCCTCAGCTCTGCTCTCTCTCCTGAGCCCCATTGCCTTCCTCAGTCCCATTCTTTCTCTTCCGCCCCTTCTCTGCTCAGCCCAGTTCTCACCTCAGCCTCTTTTCCTCCTCAGCCCAATTCCCTCAGTCTCCTCTCCCCTCAGTTCCATTTTTTCCCCTCAGCCCCATGCTTTTCCTCAGTCCTGTTCTCTCTCCTCAGCCCATTCTCCACTCAACCCATTTCTTGCCTCAACCTCATTCTCCCCTCAGTTCTGTTCCCTGCAACCCAATTCCCTTTAGCCCCCTTGTTCCCTGAGGCCTGTTCTCCCCCCGAACCCCATTATCTTCCTCAACCCTGTTCTCTCTCTTCAGCTCCATCTCCACTCAGCCCAATTCTTGCCTCAGCCTTACTCTTCACTCAGCCATGTTCCCCTCAGCCTGTTCTCTTAGCCATGTTCTCCCCTCAGCACTATTTTCTCCTCAGCCCCATTCTCTCCCCTCAGCCCAGTTTCCCTCAACTCCCTTCTCTCCTCAGCCCCATTCTCCACTCAGCCCAGCTCTCACGTCGGCCTTGCTCATCCCTCCTCCCTTTTCTCCCCTCAGCCCTGTTCTCTCCTTTCAGCCCTGTTCTCTTCCTCATCCCTATTCTTCCCTTGGCCCCATTCTCTTCCCTCGACCCCATTCTCCCCTCAGCTCAGCCCCCTTCTCCCCTCAGCCCTGTTCTCTCCCCTCAGTCCCATTCTGTCTCTTCTGTCCCATTTTCTCCTCAGCCCAGTTCTCATCTCAGCCTCATTCTCCCCTCAGCTCTGTTCTTCTTCAGCCCTATTTTCTCCCCTCAGCTCCCTTTCGCCCTCAGCTTTGTTTCCCGTCTCAGCCTTGTTCTCTCCTGCAGCCCTGTTTTCCCCTCAGCCCTGTTCCCTTCTACCCTGTTCCCTCAGCCCTGTTCTTCCTCTGCTCCATTCTCCCCACAGCCCTGTTCCCCTCAGCCGTGTTCTCCCTCAGCCTCGTCCTCTCCCCTCAGCCCAATTCCCTCAGTCCCCTTCTCCCCTCAGCCTCATTCTCTCCCCTTAGCCCCAGTCTCTCCCTCAGTCCCCTTCTCTCCCCTCAGCTCCATCCTCTGCTCAGCCCAGATATCGCCTCAGCCTCGTTCTCTCCTCAGCCCCATTCTCTCCCTTTAGCTCTCTTCTCCCCTCAGCTCTCTCCTCAACTTCTCTCACCCTGTTTTCCCCTCAGCCCGCGGAGTCCTCAGCAGCCGCCCTTGGGACTCCAGGCCTGCCAGCCTTTCTAGAAGGTGCCCGAGCCCCTGGGTGGGTCCGTCCCACCTTCTCCCACCGAGTGAGCACCGCAGGCGTCCACAGCCATGGAGGCAGAGGGAGCGGGGCTGGGGGCAGACGCAAATGGAGGGGGACCTGGGTTCTGGTGAACTCTCCGAAAGCGCCCGCTGGCATTCGCCAGGGTCCCTCTCTCCAGGCACCGTCGTCACCGGGGGCCGCCGTGGCTCCCCACAGCCCAACACAGAAGACGGTGTGGTGCCAGTAACGGTTTATTACGGTCCCACGTGGACACGGTGCCCTTCCCCGGCCGCGGGCAGCGGGGTTTTCCCCACCGGGGAGGTCACTCAGTCAGTCAACGTCCCGCTCAGAGACGGGCGGGAGGGTTTGTTTCTGGAAGGTTCTTCGGTGTGTCTCAGCCTCTCCTCCCGGAGGCCGCGGATTACAGGACGTTCCAAAAGCCCCGAACGGGCAGCGTTAGGTCGGGTTAGCGCGGGCTAAGGGGGGTGCGCCCGGGAAAGAAGGGGTGAGTCCGTTAGGGGTGTCGCGGCGTTAGACCAGCTCTCTGCCCTGTCCCCGTGCGGGGCGGGACGACTCTCCGAAACGCTCTCTGCGGGCTCCCGCGTCCGGCTGGGCTCGGGGCAGGCCCGGCCGCTGTCCCGCTGCCCCCGCGTGCCCGTGCCCGCTGCAGGCCGCCGCCTCCTCGTCCTCTCGCTCGCCATCGCCTGGGCGTGGGCGGCACCGGCCCCGGCCGCCCCGTCTGTGCCGCGCCCGCCCGTCGCGCCTCACGACGTACCAGACCCTCAGTGACGTCTGCGCCGCCCCAAAGCGAATGGAAGCTGGGGTGGGGGCACGGGGGGGGCTGGGGTCCCGCGGGGCGTCTTCGCGGACGCACCCCACAGCCGGGGGCAGGGTGCAGGCGGGGGCAGGGGTGCGGGACCCCCGGGAGAGGCCACCTGGGGGCAGGGTGGCCGCGTCTTCAGAGGGATGAGAGTGTCAGTAGGTGGGTGCCCCCGAGTGCGTGTGGGGGGTCGGCAGGGGAAGTTAGGGGCTGCGGGGGCTTAACAAGCGGGGGTCGGGGCGGTCCTCAGCGTCGAGCCATGGGGGACCCCGAGCGACTGTCTCTTCCTCCCTGCAGAGAGGGGAGCAGAGTCAGGGGGCAGCGGGGCTGGGGCCTGGGACTGTCCAGGGAGAGACCCTGGGGGTGACGGAGGGGTCCGGGCGCGTCCGCACTGGCTGGCCTTGCTGTGGGGGGCGGGAGTGGGAGGGGTGTGGAGTGGGTGCGGACCGGACCCTCCCTGCCTGGGCCCCGACCTATGGTGCAGGCGTGGGGACAGCCCCGTGGACTCGTCCAGCACCTGGGGGCACCCCATCGAGAGCGGGATCGGGGCCCCTTGGGGGTCAGACCCCTGCAGCTGCCCCCGGGCCAAGTTCCCCAGGCTGCTCGGTGGCCGCGTCGCCCTGGCTGCTGCCATCTGGTGGCTCTGGTCAAGGGGCGGTGGCCAGCAAACGGGCAGAGCACAAGCCTTGGACGCTGCCACATCCAACAGCCGTCAAGCCGATGCCCTCTGTGCCCAGCAGGGACCCGGCTCCCCGCCCGCCCAGGGGCAGCGCCCTGCAGAGCCCGGCGGTGACGGGCAGCAAGGCACACCCGGGCATGCCCTCATCTCCCGCCCGCCGACCGCCTGCGTTACCAGCTTGAAGATTCTGGAGAGAGTGCTCTGGGCATCGTGGGCCCGGAAGCCCTTGTGTGCCGACGCGCGGCCTCCGTAGCCGAATCCCGGCTTCTGGCCCTCGGCGCCCTGTGGGGAGACAGGCGCTCAGGGCCGCGGGGCAGGGCCGCAAGGGTGTCGCCCGCCGGAGCGCGGGGAGGAGCTGAGGCGCGGGTCCGTGTGCTCCCGGGCCTGCGAGGCCTGGGCAGAGGGCACAGGCACCGGGCAGGGCAGAGGACAGTGCCCGCAGCCGCCACCCTGCGGAGCCTCCGCGTGCAGCATCTCCTCACGGGCTCCCGGATCCCGGAATCCCTGCAAGTGACCCTGACGCAGCACCCGTCCGCGGCCGCACGGCACGGGAGCACTGTGGGGGAGAGCGGGAGCGCCTCTGCCTGCCCAGCCCGGAAAGTCCAGGCCTCTGCTCGCTGCTGCCGCCTGCTGGGACCAGAGTCAGAAACAAGCTGTGAGCTGGGAAAAGGGCCTGTGGTCAGGGGTTGCCCAGTCGGAGACACTCCTGCGGACGGTCAGGAAACGCAGGGCTAGAGGGAAAGAAGGCCCTGCCCCTCCCCCCTCCTCCTCTCCTTTCTTTCTTCCTTCCCCTTCTTTCCCCTTCCCTCCCTCCCTCCCTTCCTCCTTCCTTCCTTCCGTCTTCCTTCCTTCCTCCCTTCCTTTCCTCCCTTCCTTTCCTCCTTCCTTCCTTCCCACCGCTCCTCCCTCACCCCTTCCTCTCTCCTTCCTCCCTTGCTCCCCTTTCTCCTCTCCCCTCCCCCTCGGCCCCCCCCTTGGTCGAGCCCACCCCCTCTTCTCAGCATGCACAGCAGGGCCTCGGCGGCGAGTGATGTCTTGAGGCCCCGACCCGCCTCCGGCCCGCTCTGCCCCTGGGTTCTTCCTCCAACTGGGCTCGGACGCCTCCCTGGGGCGCCTGACCGCTCACAGGGAGCTCCTGAGGGTCCCGCACTCAGGTGACCTGGGGACAGGATGGGGCGGGGGGCTCCAGGCCCGGCTCTGGAGCTGCTCCTCGTTGTCTGTTGGAGAAATTGGGGGTTTTCCCGGAGAGCACTGGCCGCGGGAGTCCAGGAACCTTTGGGAGAAGAGGCCTGGGCGGGTGGGGCTGCCGGTGAGAGGCAGCGGCCAGCGGGCCGGGCACCTGCAGAGGAGGGCGCCGCGTGGGCGGAGGGGGAGGGGCGAGGGCGCGCACGTACCCAGCTGAATCTGCTGAGGGACAGTCCTCTGCCCTGCGAGGAGAGAGAGAGGGTGTCGGCCGCCGTGAGGGTGCGGCCCCTGCTGGCCAGGACACGCGGGGTCTGGGGAGGGGTGGTGAGCCTTACCTTGCCCTGGGACGGAGGGGGCGTCCGCGGGGTCACCTGCAAAGACAGGGCGGTCAGCGGAGGGACAGGGTCGGCGAGGGACAGTCACCTGGCCAGTGCCATCGGCAGAGTCCAGCACTCCGGGGGCCAGGGACCGCCCAGCGAGTCCCGCTGAACCTGAGGACCGCGGCCGCCTGCTCCGCGTGTTGGAACAACAGCTGCAGGGAGTGACGAGCCCCGGGACCCCCCCCTTGCCCATCCAGAGCCCAGACCTGTCCCCGGGGCCCTGACCCCCAGCACTGGCCGGGAGCACTCACGCCCTTGCGTGGGGAGCACTCACAATGTTCTTGAAGAACTGGATGACGGGGTTCTCATCCTGGGCCCGGCCGTGCTGGGATTTCTGGGGCAGGGAGCCGTAGTGGGTGGTTCTGGTCGCGTGATGGGTGTCCTGGAAGACAGCGGGGGCCACTCAGCACCGGCTCGAGCGCCGACTCAGCACCTCGGTGTCTGGGTCTGTGGGACTCAGGGCCTGGTGCCTGCGGGAGGCAGCGGCTGTGGGCAGGGTGAGGGCGGGCCGCCCCGCCGGGAGCCACGCAGGCCATGCCAGCCTGAAGGCAGTGGCTGAGGCCCGCGGAGGGGCCGACCTCCGAGGGCTGAGGGGTGTCCCGCTCTCTCCTCTCCCACGGCTCCCTTGGGCTGCTGCTCCCCGGCCCTGACCCTGCCCATCCGGCCGGTCACTCACCTCCGCAGACTCAGACTCTGTCCAACTCCAGAACCAAGAACTCAAACCCAACTCAGACCAACCAAAGGACTGAAAGGGTCCCACCTCTCACCCCCTGACTGACCGAGAAGCTCTGATGTCAATGGCCAGGCGGGGCGGCCGTGGCCGTGAGCCTGACCTAGCTCACCACTCAAGACGGGCCAGTCCCAGGGGGTGGCACACGGCCAGCCCGGGTTCGATATCTGACACCCCGTGAGGTGCCCGGAGTCAGCCCCGAGCATCGCGGGTGTGGCCGGCCCTGCCCTCGCCCTGTGGGGTTAACACACAGTTTGCTGCTCAGAATCTGACGCGCAGATGCTGGCCCGTCTCTACTGACCCTGCCTGGCCCCTGGTCACTCCAGGGAGGCCGGGCCATGCTGGGGTCTGGCAGAGGCTGGGCGCACGCGGCCGAGCTTTCATTTCTCACCATCAGAGCTTACTCGGCTGTGGGGTGGGTGTGAAGGTCGTGCTGGGTGTAGGCGTGTTTCACGAGGGGTCACAGCCCTGCTCTGGACCCTGCAGGCTGGGCTGGGGGCTCTCTCCACGCACGCGAGGCCCCGGCCGGGCCCACCGGGAGGGGTGTCTGTGGGGACCTCCAGGAATGCTCGGGAGACTCAAGGTGCCGGGAAGCACCTGGGCTGGCCTCACACGAGGCGTGTGTCCAAACCCCTGCAATGTCTTTGACTCGTTTCATGATTTTAAAAAAAATTATGCTTTAAGAAACACCCACCGTGGGGCTGGAGTAATAGCACAGCAGGTAGGGCGTTTGCCTTGCACGCAGCCAACATGGCCGACCCGGGTTCGATTCCCAGCATCCCATATGGTCTCCCGAGCACCGCCAGGAGTCATTCCTGAGTGCAGAGCCAGGAGTAACCCCTGAGCATCGCCGGGTGTGACCTAAAAAGCAGAAAAAAAACCCCAAACAAACAAACAAACAAAAAACAAAAAAAACACCCACCCTGGGTGGTGGATTGTAGCTCGAGGTCAGGGGTCAGAGGTCTTGACATGGACGTGGTTGGTGGGTTTGTGGCCCTGGGCAGGGGATGAGCACGGGGCCGGGCCGGGGGCAGGGGAGACGCAGAGCCAGGGCCCGAGACCCCCGAGGACACAGCCCTGCATGAAGGTGCACGTCAGCTGCAGGGACGCACAGTGGGGAGGAGGGCACCTCCTCACACGTGGCCAACCTGGGTTCAAGCCCCAGCACCCCAGAAGGTCCCCCGAGCACCCGCAGGAGTGATTTCTGAACAGAGAGCCCGGAGTCAGCCCTGAGCCTCGCCGGGTGGGACCCAATCCACCACCACTGACAGCGAATAAAAGAAAAAGCAGAAAGGCAAGTTGCGGAGCTTGTGGCGGGGGCGACTGGCCGGCCTGGAGGGGCTTCGCGGGGTGCGGCCTCTGGGCCCAGCAAGTCAATACGAAGACCCTGTGGCAGCCGTGTTTCTCCACGCAAGCAACGGACAGCTGCAAAACCAACGCTTCTAAATGCCGCCGTAGAAAGGGCAGCGAAGCTCTAGGCCAGCGGCGGGGCCGGGTCCGGGGGAGGCGGCGGGCCCCAGGCAGACACCCATGGCCGCGCTGAGAGGCAGAGACGGTGCCCACCAGTGTCCACTGTCTACTGCGAACCGCCGGTGCGCCGGGCCCACACGGGATGTGCAGGGCTGACCCCCAGCCTGGTCACTCCAGGCTCGCTGCTCCGTAGGAGAGGAGGGTCAGGGGCGGACAGACGAGAGACCGGGGCCCGCGGGGCTGAGGCGGCGAGAACCCCCGAGACACAGACAGAGGCCACGCGACTCACAGCAGGACACGCTCCCCGGCTCCCAGCGGGCGGCAGCTGACCGGGGCCTCCCCGTGCGCCGGCCTGTGGAGGAAGCAGGACCCCCTCCCTGGGCAGTCGGCTTGCGAATGCACTGCCCCTTTCTGGACGGCAGAGTGACAGAAGCCCGCGGTGGACTGTCCCCGTCAAAGGCTGCCGTGGACTCTCCCAGCTCGTCCACTCTCACAGAGGCTGTGGACGCTGGCATGGCTGCCGGTGGCCCCTGGAGAGAAGACGTCCAATCTCCGTGTCCTCTCCTGTCCAGAGCAGCCACATGCAGACCTCTGACCTTTAGGCCAGCCACACGCAGACTTTTGCCCCTTGGGCCAGCGGCTCCTTTCGGGGAAGCAGAGGCCCCGTGCCCGCAGCCTGGCACCGAGCTGTGGGAAGGACAGGTGTGTAGGGGCTGCCCTGGGCTGCCGTGCGTGAGGGATTCAGGCTCCGCGAGAGGTCGGTCCTTGAGGGCCCAGCCCACAGACACAAGCCGCAGGCCTGTCTCTGCAGCTGCAGGCCTGGGGGTCTGTCCCCCGTGCCCAGAGCACACACACAGCCCCAGGGGCCCGGCCCTGAGGCGGGCAGTGTGGACCTGTCACATGCGCACGGCCCCCAGACGGCTGTAGCCCGAGGCCTGCCCTGAGAAGCACCTTCCATCCTTCAGGGTCCCTCAGGACTGCTGACCTCTCTGCCCAGGCCCCGGTCACCTGCCTGCCTGCCGCAGGCCCCTGGGTGCAGAGGGGCCGTCCTGCCTAGCCGCTGGCCACTGTCTGTCCAGAGGCCTCGAGGACAGGCCGTGCCGACAGAACCAGAGGCGGGGCAGCCCTGCGCTCAGCTGAGCTGACCAGCATGAGGCCCCACATGGCCTGAGGAGGGACACGGCGTGAGGCCACAGAGCAGGACGGGAGGGACAGGCAGACCGTCCACGTGGGGAGGGCGGAGCCCGGGTCCGACCCTCCTTTGGGGCGGGGAGAGCAGGGGAGTGGGCACTGGCCCTGCGCGGCAACCCAGGCTGGACCCGGCATCTGAGAGGGTCCCCCGAGGTCGCCAAGAGTGACCCTGAGCACAGAGCCAGGAGTCAGCCCTGAGCACCCCCGGGGGTGGCCCCCAGTTCTTTTCATTGTTTTGGGCCCCCCCGGGGGTGCTCAGGGGCCACTCCTGACTCTGCACAGAGAAATCACTCCTGGCGGGCTCGGAGGCCACTCGGGATGCCGGGGATCGAACCCGGGCTGGCTGCCTGCAGGGTAAACGCTCTACCCACTGCGCTATCTCAGAGGGGGTTTGGGCCATGCCCGGCAATGCTCAGGGGTGACTCCTGCAGGCTCAGGGTCCATGTGGGGGCCGCGTGACAGGCAGATGCCCACCCCCTGTCCTCCGCCTCGGGACAGTCCTCAGCTGTTTCAAAACAGAAACGTCAGCTCCATGAGGCTGTGCTGTGCTGGGCTGGCCTGGGACTCGCCACCTCCAACCACCTAAGGCCGATGAGACCTGGACGGTGGCAGTCAGCCTCCTGGGAGAGCTGGGGACGGACACTTCCGAACTTCCGCCTCCTGGGCGCTGACGGGGACAGAGGCCAGCGAGCCTCTTCCCAGTCCTGGCACGGGCCTTGTCAGGATGCCAGGGCCCAGGCCCCGCAGGGCGCCTCGGGGCTCAGCCGCAGGGTGTTGGTCCTCAGTCCAGCGGCTGCTCTCAGGAGACCCCCGTGGCGGGGGCCAAGGGGACACAGGGTCCGTCCCGATGGCCCAGAGGCTCGGTGTTGGCTGACTCTGCTCTGGGGCGTGTTGCAGGCTGTTGAGGGGCAGCGAGGTTGGGGCAGGCGCCCAAGGGCCCCTCCCCCCGCCGCCCAGCCTGTCCGGTGCCCTGGAGCCCGGGCGGGGGAGCCATGACACGCGAGTCCAGATCCGGCGGGGCAGGGCAGCGCTGCTGCCTCTGCAGGGAACAGTCTCAGGTGAGCGACGGCTCTGTGCTGGCGTGGGCCAGGGTGGGGTCTGTCCCACGGCGGCTCTGGGAGGCTGCTGGGGGCCTGGGGTCTCCGGGGGGCCGCGCACACGGCTGGCAGAGAGCAGACGTGCCGGGGAAGCCCGTGGTCCCGGCCTGCGGAGATGAGCTCAGGACGGGCGGCAGTGAGGTCGCGGCTGTCCTCCGACTCGCCCGCGGGGGGCAGTGTGGGGCCGGCTGGCGGCCTCTGTCTGCGCTTCCTTGCCGGCTCTGGTCCTGGGCACGTCCCACGTGGGAGCACGGGGAGCGAGCAAGGGGGGCCAGGTGCCTCCGACCCTGCTCCATACTCAGGTCAGCCCTTCGCTGGGTGGGGCTGACCCCGGCCGGCCAGTCTGGAACCTTCTCTCTGGAGGGCAGCGGCCAGGCCTGTGGGGAGGCCGCAGGGGCCTCGTGCTGCTCAGACACCAGCCAGGACCCCCTCGAGCGGCTCCCTGGGTCCAGCTGTTCTGTCGTGTCCAGCAGGGGTCAGCGGGGGTTGTGCCGCAGACGGGCCATGGACGCCCCCCGTGGAGCCGGCACTTGGGTTTCCGGGTGGCCGGGCCGGCAGGGCGTGGACTGTGCTTGACTGGGCTTGGGGACGGCGGAGGGTCGTGCCCAGGGGTCCCCGCTGGACACGGCACACGGGTCTGCCGCGGGCTCTGAGGAGTGGCCGCTGCTCCAGTGGAGACGCCCACGGACGGGCAGGTGCTGGGCGCAGGGGCTGGCAGGGGCAGTGGCAGCATCCACGGGGCGGCCTGGCTCCCCCAGCCCTGCCCCCACCCACCCTCCTCTGTGCCCGTCTACAGCCGAGGACCAGTGAACCAGGAACAGTACGGCACAGCCGGGCATCTCCCCAGGACAGAGGTGACAGAGACAGACAGAGACGGAGAGAGATGGAGAGACAGCAAGAGACAGAGACAGAGAGAGACAGAGATAGAGGCAGAGAGATGGAGAGTCAGACAGAGACAGAGATGGAGAGACAGAGATGGAGAGAGAGAGAGGATGAGGAGACAGAGAGACAGACAGAGGCAGAGATGGGAGGGGCAGAGACGAGGAGGGCGAGCCTGGTGCAGCGGGCAGAGACCCCGCTCCCGGCCCGAGGGTGGGGAGAGACCCTGGCTGTGCTGTCTGGGCAGCCCCAAGGGTGGGTTGGTCTTTGGGCCTTGGATCCCGGAGCCTGCCCTGGGCCCCTGTGCTGGACCCAGTCCCCTGGGACCCAGGGACGGGGCCTCCAGGCCCCCGGGGCCACCGGTGGGAGGGGCCAGTCCACCTGGGTCAGCCCTGGCCCAGCCGAGGGTGGCCAGCGGGTGCCTGGACCCTCCCCAGGAACAAGCACTGCCCCGCCACCCCGTGGGCCCACCCAGCGCGGGCTTGCGGGCAGGGGTCCGTGACCACCACCCAGCGCTGGCCCCGCTGCCCGGAGTGGCCGCCGCCCGGCCGCCCTCTCGTCCCGTCACCTGACTCAGCGCCCGAGACACGGTCCCGCGGGCCAGCAGTGCCTGCGACGTCCTGGGCCACGCCGCCCGCCCCAGCTGCGCCCCTGGTGCCGCTTACCTTGAACACGGCACACAGGCCGTCTGGGCGGCACGCTGGGCCGGGCAGGGAGCTCGGGCGCGGCCTTGGCCGGGGCACCTGCCAGGGACAGAGTGTCGGCTTGAGTCCTGAGCCCAGGGGCCTCCAGGACAGGGTGCGAGAGGCGGGCACCCTGCCCTGCGCAGGGACGGGCTGGGAGGCAGGGCTGAGGCGTCCTCGGGGCGCGCGGGCCTCGGCTCTGGGCTCAGTGCTGCGGGGACGGGGCCCCGGGAAAGGCGGCCTGGGTGCGAGTCACAGACCCCAGGCTGTGGCTCGGGAGCTCGGCTGGGCCGTCCCTGGCTGCGGGACGGGGCAGGGGTGGGCGGAAACAGCTCAGCAGAGAGGGGGTCGGAGGAGAGAGGGAGAGAGAGACAGAGGAGAGGGAGAGACAGTGAGAGGGAGAGATAGAGTGAGGGAAAGAGATGGAGGGAGAGAGAGGGAGACAGAGACAGAGAGAGACAGAGAGACAGAGACAGAGTGAGAGTGAGGGAGAGAGAGGGAGGGAGGGAGGGAGGGAGGGAGGGAGGGAGAGAGGGAGGGGAGGTGTGTGTACCAGGCGGGAGGTGGAGGCCCCTGGTGAGTGGGGTGACGGGTGAGGGGTCAGTGTGGCGCCCAGCGAGTGTGGGTGCAGGTTGCTGAGAGCGGGCGGGGGAGGGGCAGTCTGGGCAGCCCCCAGCGGCTCTGGTGCCCGTCAGTGGGCGCCCCTGCAGGAAGGCGCCAGCCCCAGCGCCGCCAAAGCTGCTCAGAGCCGGGCAGGCGCTTAGCCCACCCCGGACGCCCCAGCTTCTGGGGTGCAGGCAGGGGGGACCTCCTGGCGGCGGCAGGTGGGGCCTGAGAGCTGAATTCCACCGCGAGCACTCGCCGGGCAGGGTCTGGGGTGAGGCTGGGGCCCTCCCCCATGTCTCCGGGAGTCATCAGAGGCGCCTCCCCCTTCACCGAGCCTGGGGGCTTTGGCATGGGGGGCCGGTGCCCTCTGCCCGCTCTGCTGCCCAACTCTGACCAGGGCCCCAGGGAGCCAGGGCCAGAGAGGAGCTCCCACCCCCATCTGGGACAAAGACACAGGCGCCCAGCGTGGGGGGAGGGGCCGGGCCTCAGGGCCAGGGTGGGGTCGTGTCATTCGTGACCTCCATGAGTTGGGGGAGCCAAGTCCCCGCACCCGTGTGGAGCATCTTGGAGGTGCAAGCGCGCCCCCTTCCTTGGCCAGGGTGGGCACCCGAGACCTGCGCTCCGAGTGCTCGGCCCCTGCACATGGGTAGTGCGGTACAGGGCAGAGCCCGGGCGCAGACACGAGCTGAGCTTCTTCTCTGAGCAGAGCGCCGCGTCCGGGTCTCCCCACACCAGGACCATCCGGCACACAGACCACGTGTGCCACTGTCCACACTAACACCCGGAGGTCACATCCTCATGTGCCACTGTCCACACATGGCACCATCCACGTGAGCCACGGTCCACGTGCCGCCGTCCATTAGTGCCACCGTCCAAGCATTGTGCAGTCCACGTGTGCCACTGGCCACAGCCAGCAGCAGCCGCCACTAGCAGCAGAGGCATGCATGGCGGCCCAGACACCGGGAGTATGGTCCCTCCAGGGAACGGTGCTGGGCTGGGCGGGGGCCAGGGAGTCCCTGTTAGGCAAAGCCATGGCTTCCCCGTGACTCTCACAGACGGAGGTGCTGAGCCCTGCGGAGGGTTAGAGGGGCCGGAAGGGGCATGGGGTCGGGGGAGGAGAGGATTGGCCTCCGGACCCCACCGTCCCGGGCCCCAACTCAGTGGCCACTGGCCCCACTCTTACTGGGCCCTCGTGTCCTCCAGGGAGAGCTGAGCAGCCCAATGGTCAGACACGGGGGCTGCCCCCTCCGGCCGGGCAGGGAGCAGTGCCCCCCAGAGCTCTGGCATCTCCAGGGAAAGAGACTGAACTGTGCCCAGAGCGGCCCGCTGGGGGCAGGGCAGGGGAGGGGCAGGGCCCCCAGAGATGCCCCCCGCCCACATTCCAGGGCCCGAGAGCCCAGGGCTCCTGAAAGCGCCTTTCACCAGCCCGCCAGGAATCTGCCGCCTCCGGGAATTTGTCAGGCGCCCTTGAATGTCAGCGGAGCCTGCAGGGGGCTGCCGCATTCCCAGGGCCGGGGGCCGGGTGCCACATGGCTCGGGAGGGGAGGGGGCAGGGTGACACCCTCTGTGTGGGGCGGGGCGGGGGGCACGCACAGGAAACTCCTGTGCACAGAGGAAGAGCCAGTGACCCATGGCCACGCATAGGCTGGGGGTGACCCCTGCAGAGGCCCACACAGGGACCCCAAGACACACACCACAGACGCCCTGCAGAGACCCACACAGGGGCCGGCCAGAGAGACACCACAGAGAGACACCATAGAGAGACACCACAGAGAGACACATCCAAGAAAAACCCACACAGGGGCCCCCAGACAGACACCACAGAAAACCAGGACCCCCAGACAGACGTCACAGAGCAGACAGAGACCCCCACCTAGACACCCCGAGACAGAGACACCCCAGACAGGGACCCCAGACGGAGCCTTTGCAGGGCTGGGCCTGGGGAGCCGCAGGGCCTGTCCCCGGGGAAGCAGGGGACACAGGGGCCCACACTCAGAACTCCACAGCGCCCCGCGGGCAGGACGGTGCCAGAGGCCTTCCTCAGCAGCCCCGGCAGCAAACAGACGGACACTCTCGAAATCCTAATGCCAGGGCTTTAAAACTCTTTATTTTTTTCAAATCCCACAACAACGGTGACTTTCACGGACAATCTAGCCCAACGCTCTTGTTTTCTTTTGCAAGCAGATGCCTGATTCCCAGGGTCCCTGTCTGAACGGCGAGAACACGGACCTTTGGGTGCCGCTGCGGGCCCAGAGACGCCCCTCCCGCCTGTGGCTGCCCAGGCCGCCCTGCCAACCCGGCTGGAAGACAGCAGGAGGGTCCCGCCTGGCCCCTACCTGCACCGGGACCAGGGGGCCGGGGGCACAGTCATGCTCTTGGAGGGGGTGCCAGGATTATTACAGAGCCTGGGCCGGCCCTCCGGCCAGCCCTGCCCAGAGGGCCCCAGCCGGGGGGGCTCTGCTGCCCGGCCCCTGACCCGCCTGCCTGAGAGGTTGGCCCCCTCCGCCTGCAGAGGAAGCGGCGCACCCCCCCACCCCCCCGCAGGACCCCCGCCCAAGGGCCCCGGCCCGGGGGTCCCCCACCCGAGCGCACGGCCAGGCTGGCCCGGCGACTCCGGGACGGCAGGATGGGAGCCGCGGCACAGCCTGCCCGCCCCCTCCTCGCCCACCATCCAGAACCTTCTGAGTCTCGGGGGCCGGGGGCCGGTGCGGGGGACAGAGGGTCCTGGCGCGCCCGGCCCCGCCCTAGTCCTCGGCGCTCACCTTGCCGGAGCCGCGCTTGGGCCCGGGCCGGCCCCCGCCCAGCAGGCGGCCCAGCGAGTCCAGGAGGCCGGTGTCCCGGCGGCGCGGCAGGAAGCCGTGGCGGACGTGGTCCATGGTGCTGGCCGAGGCCAGGTACTTGGAGCCGTGGCGCTGCGACGGTCTCTTCTGAGCCATGGCGCTGCCCGCGGGGACGCTCTGCGGCTCGTCCGACTCCGAGGGCCGCTCTTTGAAGGTGTTGTCCTCGCGGCCCGGGGCGTCTCGGGAGAAGAGGCGGGTCAGGTGGGGGCGGCCCCCCGGCTCAGCTGGGCTGGCACGCGGCCAGGCATTCTTGGGGCCCGCTGAGCGCCTCGAGCCAGCCGCGGCGGCGCCCTGGGACGGGGGTCCATTGTTCCCGGCCGCATCTGCCTCCCCTGCGAACAACAGCGGGTGTGAGCACACAGGCTGGACAAAGCCGCTTTCTCCCTGGCCGCGACGCGCCCGCCAGCACTGGGCCGGCTCAGCTGTGGCACACGGCAGCCGCAACGCCCCGGGCGGGCGGGGTGGCCCGCGGACCCCCGGGGGACCCCACCTGAGGGACCTCTCAGAGAGAGCGGCCCCTCGCAGACGAGGCGGCCCCCGTGTCCCTGGGCAACGGGAGCCTCAGAAGGACGAGCGCCCCGGGTCCCGCGCCCCTCGCCGACAGGCCCCTCCCCGCACACCCCCAGCAGGAGCCGGTTCAGGCGTCGCCCTCACCTGGCCCACATGCTCATTCCTCGAGCCCACCCTGCGCTGCCACTGCCTGGACCCCTCAGGGGGGCCCGGCGAGAGTCACGCTCTGTCACCTGTGGTCCTCACTCAGCTCTGCCCTGTCTGCGGGCCAGGGGCCGGGGCCCCGAGGTGAGCACCCCCAGCCCGCCCGCTCCCCTGGGCAGAGGGGCTGCGCTGCTGTGACCACTGCCTGACTCAGAGCTGGCCCCGGGGTCACTGGGGTGGACGCGCTGAGCCTCTGGGCCAGGGCCGGGGCAGCTGATGGGGGAGCACCAAGCTCTGTCTCTGAGAAGCAAAAGGCCCAGGCCTGGAGGGGGGTGGACGCCAGGGTCTGTGAGGCCCCCGGTGACCTTCCCAGAGAGGCCCCCCACCCAGGGCACTTTCCCGAGAAGGGTCAGGGTCCCCAGGCCCGGGGAGAGGCCTGGCCAGGGGCGTCTGTGCCTCTGGAGGGCTCCCAGGTCGGCACACAAACCCCCCCATGGCCACGGGCATGGCAGGGCAGCAGCCAAGCTGCAGGACGTGTGGTCAGCCCAGGGCACAGTGGCCAGACCCGGCAGGAGCAGCTGGAGGACACAGCACACAGAGCTGCAGAGGGCCCGGGCACCGTGCAGGGCCACGCCGGTCAGCTGTGCCCAGGGCAGTGGGGGCCGTGCTGGTCAGCTGTGCCCAGGGCAGGGGCCACACCGGTCAGCTGTGGCCACTCCCGGGGGTGGGGGCTCCGGCTGGCCGCTGTCCTGCGGCGGGATGAGAGCGGAGGTGAGGGGCAGTGGGGCGTGGAGCCAGCCCCGCCCCCGTGGGCTCTGCTGCGTGGGCCACAGGCGGCCTTTGTGCGGCTGAATGGGGCCTTGTGAGGAGCGGGCGTGGGGTCGGGGCCCGGGGCCGGGAAGGTGTTGGGGTCTGGCCTGACCCGCAGCCCCCCGGGTGGAGCCGGTCTGGCACGGAGGGACCCCAGCCCCGCACAGCAGCCTCGGGACTGTCTCGGGGAATGGGCGGGAGCAGGCGGGAGCCTAGAGGGGGGACCCTGGGCTCTCCCTGCAGTGCTCGCGAGCTCCTGGGACGGCAGCGTTGGGCCAGGGGCAGCCGGGGTGCCAGGGAGATGCCCCCCCGGCCACCGTCCAGTGTTCTGGGTGTAATGGAGGGGCCGGGACCCCCCGGCTACCATCCAGCGTAATGGAGGGGTGGGCGCTGCTGGGTCTCAGAGGCGGCGTGTCCCTGAGGTGTGGCCGTGGCCTGCTGGCCAGGACCCCGCGGGCCTCCTCTTCCTCACCCGTGGCCAGCCCCTCGCCCCAGGGCCACCCACGGGAAGATGCCAGGCCGGGGACAGCGGAGCCCAGCCCTGGCCGCACCGTGGCCGTCGTGGGAACCCTGGCCAAGTGCAGACATGGGCCTCCCTGTGCCTGACCCCTGACCCCTGACCCAGAGAGCACAGTGGGAGATGCCCAGCTCGGGGCACCCTGCCCACTGGCGCTGGACCCCGCGAGGCAGAGGCCCGGGGCCACAAGCCATTGAGGGGGACACCGCTCTCAGCACAGACAAGAGTCCCAAGGCGAGTGCCCCCTGCAGAACAGAAGCATAGTGTGTGTGTGTGTGTGTGTGTGTGTGTGTGTGTGTGAGCATGCGTCTTGTGTGCATGTGTAAGTATGTGTCTGTGTGTCTATGTGTCTGTGTATGTGTGTTGTATGTATGTGCATGTCTGTATGCATATGTGTGCATGTGTGTCTGTGTGTGTATGAGTGCATATGTATGTATGTCTGTGTGAATGTATGTGTGTGTGTCTGTGTGAATGTGTGTCTGTATGCATATATGTGTGTCTGTGTATCTGTGAGTGACTGTGTATATGTGTGTGCATATGTGTGTGTCTGTGTGCATATGTCAATATATGTCTGTGTGTATATGTGTGTGTCAGTGTGTGTCTGTGTATGTGTGCATATGTGTGCGTCTGTGTGTCAGTGTCTCTGTATGTGTCTGTGTGTCTGTGTGTGTCTGTGTATCTGTGCACACCCCAGGGCTTCCTCCTGCCCTGAGTCCGGGACTCCCTCCTGATGAAGCCCCAGGGGCCACCTGGATGCTGGCAGTGGGCCCAGGCGAGTGCCCCCCGCCCTGTGTGGCCTCCCTGGCCCTGGACTCGCCCTTCTTTGGCAGACAGGGACAGCTCCCAACCCACCCAGGCCACCACCGTCCCCCGTGGGTCCAGAGCCCCCCTGGCATGGCTTACGGGGGGTCTATCCTCACCTCGCCTCCCTCAGAGGCCCCTCCCTGCCTTGGGGTCTGCTGGGTGCGGGGTCGGGGGCTGGAGCAGGGCCCGGGACAGGGGACCCAGCTCTGCGGGGGACGGACCCTGTTGTTAGCCGGTGACAGAAGGGCCCGGCTTGTCCCTCTGCACCTGAGGCTGTGGGTGGATCCCCTCGTGTGCGTGCGCCAGCTGGGGGAAGCTTCTAGAACCCTGGCACACCACTGCAGGACAGCGCAGGGCATGGTCTGGGGCGGGAGGGAGTCCGGGGTCATGCCCAGCACCCTGGGTGCAGAGGGTGGGGGGCCATCGGGGCAGAGACCCCAGCCCATAGCCTCGCCTCGGGCGCCCATGTGCTGGGCAGCCCAAGTGGGTGCCCACGTCCCCCCATCGGTGACGGGCCTGGGGCACAAAGGAGCTTCAGGACGGGCACCCCTTGCACAGGGCCCATCTCGGGAGCAGGGACACAGGGACAAGGGCACGGGTGGGCTGAGCTGCCCAGGTCAGCCTGGGCTGGCGTGAGGGGTCAAGGCAGAGGGGGTCTGGCCGCTCGTGCTCGGGGCCAGTGCTCGGCTGGGGGCAGGGGCGTCACCAGCTCCCTCCCACTGCACTCGGTGACTGGGCCCGTCAGCCTATGGCACAGCCAGGGGGCCAGCAGGTCTCAGGACACCCTCAGGGAGCCCCGAGCAGGAAGGGGCTGGCCTGGCGTGGCAGGGCTGTCTGGGGGGCCGGCCCCAGGCAGAGCCAGGATGTGGGGACCCAGCAGGGGGTCTCGAGGGCTGAGGGAAAGGCAGGGAGTGGGCGAGGGCAGACACCCTCCCCCCCCACCCACGACTTCAGATACTTCCGACCGGTGCCCCTTCCCCGCGGGCTTGGCCTGGCTGGACCCGCACACGGACCCCGGCAGCAGCAGCACGGGGGGCACAGCCTAGTTTCCCTTGTGCCCCCCAGATGGGGAATGTGCAGTGTGGAGCCGGGTGGGGCCCCGGGCGAGCAGGGGGACGGCTGTGTGGGCCCAGAGAGGCCCCGCGCCCGGGCGCCCGTCCCCTTAGAACATTTCCACCAACGCCGCCCACCCGCGCCAATGGCCCCTTTGTCCACCCGAACATACGGGTTCGCTGTGCTCGAAATAGCCCGGCCGGAGCCGCCCACAGGGGGTGGGTCACGGGAGCAGCAAGTTGGCCGGAGGGACAGGGCTGGGGCAGTCGGGCCCTGGGCATCGGGACATGGGCCTGCCCCAGACAGGGGACACGCAGGACACGGGCCTCGACATGTGGGACATGGGCCTGCCCCGGGCAGGGCGGGATCTGGGGGCCGGTGGGGCTGATGCTCGGGCCAGAGCTCTGAGGTGGCCCTCAGCCCTGGCTGGAGGGGCCCTTCACCCCAGGGTGCCCGGGAGCCTAAGCAAGGCCTGAGCAGGCCGTCCGGGCCACCCGCCCCAGCACGCCCTGCAGAGGCCCTGTCCCACAAGGCCAGTGTCCCGGGCTGCCCGTGACCTCAGCCCCGCTGCCCTGCAAACCCCACCCACGGATGCTGGTGGGTCTCCCTCGCCGAGGGTCTGTGGCGGGAGGCCGGGCGGGTCCCTGAGCCCACCTTGTGTCCGTGTGTCTGTCTGTGCTCACCTCCACGCCCCTTGTCCCTGGGGCTCAGACCCTCATACGTTGTCCCAGGCTCTGTGTGTGTGTCTGTGTGCATCAGTGTGTCTGTGTGTATCTGTGTGTGTCAGCGTGTCTCGGTGTGTCTGTGTGTGTCTGTGTGTCTGTGCACACCCCAGGATTTCCTCCTGCCCTGAGTCCGGGACTCCCTCCTGATGAAGCCCCAGGGGCCACCTGGATGCCGGCAGTGGGCCCAGGCGAGTGCCCCCCGCCCTGTGTGGCCTCCCTGGCCCTGGTCTTACCCTTCTTTGGCAGACAGGGATAGCTGCACACTGGCTCAGACCTGGAGCCCTCAGCCCGGTCAGGCCTGGCCACACTGCCCGTCCCTGACTCCTGTCTGCACACCCTCGGCAGGTGGCGACCATGTGAGCCGGAGTGGGACCCTGGGCACGGCCGTCGAGGCGAGTGGCTGCCTGTCCCAGGCTGGCGGAAGGACAAAGACAGACGCCGGGCTGGGCCCGAGAGTCACCTCATCTCAGCAGAGGGTCAGTGTGGTCCGGGCAGGACAGGGCAGGACGTGCCAGCGCGTGGCAGCCTCAGGCCAGGAAGGGGCCAGGCAGGGCCGCAAGGTTCCCACAGGGTCAAGCTGGACGTGGGGAGCATGGGGAGGCACTGGCTGGTCCACTCGGTCTACTCCCGGACGCCCACAGCCCCGAGGGCCAGCGTGAGTGCTCGGACCTGGGTGGCATCAGGACCCCAGGGCCCAGTGGGGAGAGGCCCAGCGGGGACGGGGTCTTCGCTGAACTTGTGTGCAGGTTGGGGGGGGGGGGTCCCGGAAGGCACCTGCTGTGCCCACGGAGGGCAGGTCCCCATGTGGCCCTGCCCAAATGCGTGTCTCTCCTCTGCACCCGCGTGTCCTCTCCTGCCCTGAGGGAGGCCCCCACTGGGCTGTCAGACTCGAGGCCGTGTGCGGAAGGGGCTTTTCCCGAGGGGCAGCTGCACTGACTGGTGGTCAGTGCCATGCGGCAGCCCTCCTGTGCCCTGAAGGCCGCCACCACCGGTCAGGGCAAGGTCCAGCGGGGGCAGCCCTGTGTGCAGGGTGGCGCTGGGTGGGGCCTGGGACCTGCCTATCTGCAAGGCAGGCAGGTGAGGACGGGCAGGCCCGGCCCAGCCCCTGACTGCGGAGGGTCTCAGCGGCTGCCCCCGACCCAGGCGGGGCTATGCTGGGGGGTCGCCTCTCCCGGACGCTCCCGCTGAGGTTCCTGCCTTCGCCCAGGCAGTGGGCGCCAGCCGGACCCTCGCAGACCTTTGCCCGGGCCAGGGCACGACTGGACACAGTACTTTCTGTCCCCACTGCCCAAGAACAAAGGCCCCGTGTCCAGCCCGGCCGCCGAGAGCCACACACAATGGCGGCTTTCAGGAGCGCGTTGCCAACGCCGAGCGACCCCCACGCAGCCGTGCGGCCGTGCCAGCTGGTGCCAGGCGCTCCGGCCGCGGGCAGACGCACGGCAGCTCTGGGGATCGAGAGCCGGGTCAGGCTGGGCAGAAAGTCAGACAGAAAACTGCGGTTGTACAAGGAGACGCCACCCAGGAGAAACCGGCACCGGGCGCTCCCAAGGCGACCTGCCGTGGGGGGGTCTCACAGCCCGGCGGCTGCACCGGCCCCTCTCAGCACGTCAGGGCAGGGCGGGGGCCAAGCTGGGCCGCTCGTGTGTTTGCTGTTTGGGACGTCACCTCAAGGCTACACCATGGCACTCCATCCCATCTGCCAGAAGGGGGCCGGCAACGCACTGGGGGGCTTCGGGGGGCTAGGGGAGGGGGACACTGGCTCTGTGCTCGAGGGTCACTCCCAGTGGGCTCAGGGAACCCTAGGGGCTCCCGGGGATCTAACCTGGACTGGCCGTGTGCAAAGCAAGAGGCCGCCTCACTGTGCGAAGGCCACCCGCACCCTGATTTTCATAGATACGCCCCCAGAGCCACGAGTGTGAGGGCCACACTGCCCGCCCGTCCACCGCCCCGAGCCGTCCTGCAGAGGCCCTGCTAGTGGCGTCTCCCGATTCTTCCCCCACAGGACCAGGCCGTCCCCCGAGCCAGCGCACGGGGGCAGCTCACCTCAGGCGACTCGGCCAGGCCCCAAAGGTCCCCAAGGGTCCCTGCAAGCCCACGGTGGGCGGGTCCCGCTCCGGAGGGCCGAGGCCCAGGAGAGCTGCACACACTGCGCAGGGGGCGGGCGCGTGCCCAGGGCGGCTGGGTGGCTCCTTGGGGCCAGTGCCCCGGGGCTCACCGGGCACCCCTGCCCCCAGCTCCTCCTGGTGTGGCATGCTCGGGCCGGCCCAGCGCAGCCTCTGCCCCTGCCCCCACCTGGCCATGAGCCGCCTGCCCGCCCTGCGGTGCCTCGAGGTGCCCGTGGCCCCGGGTGCGACCCTGGCTGTGCTGAGCGGGCGTCTCCCCTCAGCCCCACACCTGCAGGGCCGGCTGCTGCCTGGGGAGACCCCCGTGCTCCCGGGAGCACCGCCCCCCGTGGCTCCAGGACCAGCCCGTGGACATGCAGCCCTGCACTGACAAGCCCGGCCCCGGCCCGGGGGCCCCTCCAGCTGGGCCTCCTGGTGCCTGAGGACCCAGGCAGAGACCAGCCCAGTCGCCAGCGGAGGGTGGGCCGGTGGCGTCCCCAGTCAGGCCCTGTCCTTCCACCTCTGTCTCCCAGGGGATGGATGCCAGAGGGCTCGGGGCCGGGGACAGGAGCTGGGCAGGGCTGGGCCAGGCGGCGCCACCCTGGTGGCAGCACCCCAAGGTGCCTGCCCTCGGGATGGAACGGGCAGGGCTCAGAGAACAGTGCTCAAGCTCGGGCACACGCTGAGTGAGGTGTCCCCGGGCACGGGGCTGTCCGCAGGCAGGAGGGCAGGAGGTCACTCAGGCAGCAGCAGGCCACAAAGGCCACAGGGCAAACCCTCCGGAAAGGTCGTAGGACAAAGGTCAGAGATCAAGGGACCAGAGGAGTCGGGTGGCCATAGCCTGAGGACGTCTGCTCCTCGGGAGCATGGCGGGCCTGGGGTGGGGATGGACAGGGCCATGTCGCCGTCGCTGAGTGGACACAGGGCCCGCCCCGGCCACCTACCGAACACGTCGCTGTCTTCTGAGGCATCACGGGCGAGGGCGTGCCTGCTGCTGTCCCCGTCTGCTCGGCTTGCGGCTCCAGCCTGTGGAACAGGACAGTGACCGTGAGTGCCCGCGGGCCTGGCCATGCCACAGGGCCACCCTCAGAAGCAGGAATGGCCACAGTGCCCACGGCCACCCACGGCCACCAGCACATCTCTCTGAGCACTGTGCCCGGAGCATTTGCGTGTTCTGCAGCGTGAACCCCTCCTGGCCACTTCCCTGCATCCTGCGGAGCTGCAGGCAGACACTGGGCTGCGGCCGACCTTTGTCCAGCAGTGGCCTGACGAGGGGCTCCTGCACCCTGACCTGGGACACGGCCGGGCGGAGCCTTCAGTCACTTATTCCAACCCCCCCAGGGCCGCCCTTCCCCTGGAGCCCTCTGACAGCCATCGGGAGCCCTGACTCGGACGCCTGTGGAAGTGGACAGGACGGGTGGCTGGCCGCAGGGACCAGGGGAGCTCGACCTCCCGGGCCGCAGGTTCGCAGGCCCCACCCAGGCCTGGCTGTGGCCGTCACCCCTGACCCCTCGGACACTCGGCGACCCCCACGCTGCCCCAGGCCCTCAGCCCAACCTCCCCGACTCAGGGCAGTGTCCAGTGGCTACAAAAGGGTCCCTACAGCCGTGTCCAGCAGCAGACGCCCCGCAGGGCCCAGCGCTCTCCCCTGGTGCTCCTCTGCCCTGGGCTCTGTGACAAGCTGTGCCGTCTGCGGTGACGTAAACGTCTGCGATGGCACCAACGAGAGCAGAGACGTCCCCGGATGGAACCTTCCAGCCAGAGTCCCCCCGCGCAGAGCTCGGGGATCAGAACATGACCCCGGATACCCAGCTCAGTGGGCGGACACAAGGGATCCCCGCAGCTGGGGCTTCGGGGGGCTGCCAGGGCTCAGGGGCCTGTGGCCTCTCGTCCACAAGAGGGACCGGCCCTGCCAGGCCCACAGCAGGGCCCGTGAGGCCCCTCACGGGAGCAGAGGCCCCAGGGCTCGGCAGCCAGGCACCAGCCTTGAGAACTTGCCAGCTCAGCTTCACCCTCTGCTGGGAGGAGGGAACTGCGGCGAGCTCGCCCTCTGCTGGGAGGAGGAAACTGCAGTGATCTTGTCCTCCGCTGGGAGGAGGGAACTGCAGCGAGCTCGAGCTCGCCCTCTGCTGGGAGGAGGGAACTGCAGCAATCTTGTTCTCTGCTGGGAGGAGGGAACTGCAGCGAGCTCGCCCTCTGCTGGGAGGAGGGAACTGCAGCGAGCTCGCCCTCTCCCTCACGGGAAGGGAGCAGTGGGGCCTGAAGGAGAGTGAGATGGCAGGGAGGGGGCAGGAGACGCTCTGAGGGGCTGCAGCAGGCCGGGTTCCTTCCCCAAACCCACCCAAAAGAAGAAGAATCAGGCTTCGGAGGGGAGAGATGACTTTCGCCTTGGCTGGCGGGCCAGCGGTTGCACCGTCTGTCCCCGCTCTGTGCAACTTCAGCACCCAAGGGTGTGTCTGCTCACAAACTGGGCCAAGGCTTCTGACAACGTTAGGCTGCTGCTGAGCTCAAGACTGCGGACGGGAGGGCAGGCGGCTCCCAGCTGCCCAGCCTGAGTTTGGGACCCGGCTGGCCTGGCCACCTCAGCCGAGGCCGAGAGGGTCCTATCAGAGACAGTGGCCTGGGGCGGGTGGGAGGCCCTGCAGCCTTGTGGAAGGGGTGCGGTCTGGGGCAGCCCTCCATCACCATGGAACTGTGTTTCAATGGTGTCTGCTAATCACACACGTTAGTTTTACAGTGACCCTCAGGCTGAAAACTCGGGGCCCTCCTACAGACAAGGGGTCTGAGGCCTCCAGGAGACACTTGTGCTGGCCCAATGGATCAGAACCAGCACTGCCAGGGGGTTGTACTTTCCTTAAAGCTGGTGCCGGAGATTGGGGATGCGAGCCATCCCCCCGCCCCCCGGCCCCTCCAGAAACACCCCCTGCGGTGTCAGCTCCAGCCGCTGCATGTGCGTGGTCACGCCAGCACCCACCTCCAGGCCGGGCTCGAGGGTCCCTCGACTGTTTCCTGGGGGCTTAGCCTGGCGTGAAGGGGCCTCTCCCCACTACAGCCACCCAGAGCACTTTCCCTCCCGTCAAGAGACCGCCCTCGCCCTTCCCGGAGCAAACGCTCTGCTACTGACCCAAGGAGTTCACTGCAGTCTGAGTGTCACGGACAGTTCTCGGGTGAGAAACAGACTCGCTGCGTGAGTTCAGCCCAACATCGAGAGTACAGTCCACACCCAACACGACTCAGCCCGGCTCAACCCAATCCACAACACAACCTACCACTACACAAACCAACACAACCTAATCCCAGATAAGACACCCAACCTAACACAGTACAACCCAACACAAGAAAACCTCACCACAATACAGCCCAAATCAATACGACTCGACCCACAGCACAACCCAACACAGCACAATACAAAAACCCAACAACGCAAGGTAATCAAGTGTGATTCAATCCACCACAATACAGCCCAACACAATCCAACAGAATCCAGCACAACACAACAGAACCCAACCAAGACAACCCAACGTAACTTAATCCACCACAATACAACCCAACTCAACACAGACCAACCGAACCCAATACAACAACCTAACACAATCCACTTAACTCAATCCACTCCAATATAACCCAAGTCAGCCCAACCCAATACAACATAACACATAAACCAACACAACATATATCAATCACCACACTACAACCCACATATCTATCACAACATAACCCAGTGCAACCCAACCCAACATAACAAACGACATCACACCACAATACGACACAACAGTAAAGAACAGACCCCAACCCAACCTAACACAACCCAATTAACACCACACAATGCTAAGGACTTAGACACAACACAACAGTCAGAGAGCCTGGACGCTTCGCTAAGTATGGGGCAAGAGAATTTGACATACCAGCCAAGGGAAAGGGGTGACACAGAATAACACTGTCCAAGAGACCCCTCCCTCTGAGCACGGGCCAAGGTGCAGGAAGCCAGGCCGGGTCCCCCAGGGATGCAGCCAGTACCCCAGCGGGGAGACAAGCCCCCGTGCCAGGTGTCTGTTCCCGCGAGCAGAACCCCATCCAGGTCCTGGGTGCTGACTCACAACTCAGCAAGCACGGGTAAGGGGGACGCAGGGCTGAGAAGGGACAACCCCCGGCATGTCACGTGGATGCCTCCCGCGGCTGGGCCCCATGTCCAAGAAAGGACTCATGCGCCCGGACCGAGGGCAGCACCAGCCGCGGGCCTCTCATCTGCAGTGCCCAGCTCTGGGGAAGGCTTCTTCCACGGCTCTCGGGAAGGCCACCCCCAGCCCGGAGCCCGTCCTGCCCGCGAGGGGACCTTGCACACCTCCCTGTGAGGCCTCGCCTTCCGGCATGCGCCCAGAGGGCTGAGAGGCTGATGTCCAGTGTCCTGCCTTGCCAGGCATGGTCCCTTGCGTCTCTGGGTGCTCTGGAGTGCGGAGAGGCCTCTGGGAACACACCCCAAAGTTTCTTTTTGGTTTTGTGGCCACACCTGGCAGCGCTCAGGGGACCAGACATGCCAGGGATAGAGCCCACGCCAAGGCCAGGGCCCTCCCGCTGTCTCTCCCCAGCACCCAGAGCTTTCGAGGGGCGACTCCCAGAGTCCCCGGCCCTGAGACAAGCAGGCGTGCTTGAGTGGAGGGGCAGGTGCCTTTATTTGTCCCTGAAAGGCCACAGGTGGGTCCTTCGAGTGTTGTGGAGAAAGACACGTCCCCCCGCCTGACCTCAGGAGTACCCAGGTGCAGAGCCGATGTCCCCCCCTTGGCTGTCCAGCTGTCCAGTCTCGGCTGCAGGAAGGCTCTGAGCCCTGACGAGCGTCAGCCGAGTGAAGATGCAGACTGGGAGGAACCACTGCCTCAGTGGCGCTGGCCCCACCACATACCCCAGGGCCTTCCCTCGTGCCTCCTGGACGTCCACCTGATGCTCCCTCACCAGAGGGTCACCAGCCCGCAGCGCTGGTGTGACGAGGTGTGTGCTGGTGTGTGCTGCTGTGTGCCAGTGCGTGCTGGTGTGACAAGGTGTGTGCTGGTGTGCGCTCATGGCTGGTGTGGCCTGGGGCTACTGTGGGCATGTGTCATGTCTGCTCTGAGGCCACAGGGCACTTGGCAGGGAGAGGGCAATCTGCCCCGTGAGGCGGTGAGAGGCCCCTTGCCCTGGGGAGATGCCCAGGATGCAGCCACCCCAGGAGACCCCCGTGACCCAGCAACCGTCTGTCAGGAAGCCATATGCCTGGGCAGGCCCTGCTCTCTGCGGCTGCAGCCTGAGGCTGTCAGCGACCAGCGGAGGCAGGGTTGGGGGGGAGGTCCACAGAGGGGGCAGGAGGCGGGCAGAGGCGGGAACAGGGGTCTGCACCCCAAACACGGGTCTGTTCCGGAAACTTCTGCTGACCACCCTGGGCAGTCCTGGGACTCCCCCAGGGACATGGCTGAGGGGCAGGAGGTCCTGGCGGTGGCACCGGGAGTCCCTCAGGCTCAGGCACCCATGCTCACAGGAGCCTCTCGGAGCAGCTGGGAGGGCCAGGCTGGCCCAGGGTCCCGGCACCCGGGTGACCCACAGCCACCAACCGCACCTCCAAAGCCACCCATGAGCCGCTGCTCTGCATCCTTGGGGCCAACAGCACCCAACCTCCTGGGCATGGACGGGAGGGGTGAGTGGTCAGGGCAGCCAGGGACACTCACTCCAGTGTCCCTCCCCCCAACACTCCCAGAGAGGGGCAGATCTCTGGGTCCCCCTCACACCTGTCTGTCCCCAGAGACAGGCTGGGCCGGGCACCTTCCCCTCCCCCCAGGGCCTCTGGGATGTGCCTGGGCAGTGCCCAGCTGCCCCCGACCGCGGTGGGCAGGCTGGACACATTCTCCAGTGACTGGAGCTGCAGAGGTGCAGACCCAGGGCTGCATCCGGTGCAGCGAGTGGTCCCTGGCCCTGCCCTGACCCCTTCCCACTGGTGGACACCCACAGGGTCAGCGGAGGTCTGTGCACACACAGGGCATGCCAGCAGTTCGCTAGCACACGAATGAGAAGGACCAGACAGGCTGCGGCTCCGAGACAGGGTCCACTCGCAGATGGCCGGCAGGACACGCCACCTCCCGGGCCCGGGGCTGAGAGCCGGGCAGGCAGGGGTGCAGCCCGAGGCTGGTGCCCCGTGGCCATGCCCTGTCCAGCCTCCCCAGCTGCACGGCCACCCCTTACCCTCCTCGGAGGAGGAGCAGGAACTTCCTCAGGAGGCGCGAAGCCCCTGCCCAGACATCAGACCCCGGGCCACGGTGGCCCCTGAGTGCCTGTCCAGGGCTGGGCTGCGGGGCACCGGGTGGATGGGCTCCAGGCACAGGCTGACCTGGGGGGCACGTGGTGTGGCCAGACCTGGTGGGTGGCACAGAGAGAAGACAGCACGTACGAGAGAGAGAGGGGAGAGAGAGAGAGAGAGAGAGAGAGAGAGAGAGAGAGAGGAGAGGGAGAGAGAGCGAGAGAGGGGTGCGTCTCTCACCCACCCCAGAGAGTGGATGGCTCGCCCCCCTCAGGTGGGCTGGGGGGCGCCCCCAGGAGAGGGGCTCCGGGTGGGGCAGGAAGTTAGGGTGGGGCAGGAGGAGGGTCTGAGGGTCCTCTAGGAGGTGGGCTGCGCTGGAACTCTGGGTCACAGACACCCCTAATCTCTCAAGCTCCATCATTCAAGGCTGCTCTGTCCCCAGAGGCTGACCTGGGCTCCCAAGCACTGGATCCAGTGCACAGACAGAGGGAGAACAGCTCACAGACAGAGGGAGGAGGTCAGCACACAGAGGGAGGAGGCATCTGCTCACACCAGAAGTGTCTCCCAGGTCTGGGTCACAGAGTTCGGTTCTCCACGAGACCCCCACGCCCAGGGTCCCAGGGAGGTCTTGCAGCAGCTGGGCAGGTTTCGGGGCAAGGGTGTGTCACTGGGAACCGGGATGTGGAGGCTGAGGGCTCCAGGGGTGAGGGGTGGGGGACTGGTTCCTTCCAGGCTGGCGTCTGGGGCTACCGCAGTCACAGGATGTGGAGGAGGCGGGTGGTGCCCCGGGGTGGGGGAGGGGATGCCTCCCTGTCACGGCACCGCAGGCAGATGGAGCTTCCCCTCTGCAGCCTGAGAAGAGGAAGCTCTCCCAGAGCAACCGCAGGGACAATGTGGAAGAGGGGGGCATGTGGGAGGGGTGAGGCCACGAATGTTAGGTGAGGCTACGTGTGTTAGGGGAGAGCCACATGTGTTAGGTGAGGACCACGTGTGCTAGGTGAGGCCACGTGTGGTAGGTGGGGCCATGTGTGTTAGGTGAGGGCCACATGTGTTAGGTGAAGATCACGTGTGTTAGGTGAAGGCCATGTGTTAGGTGAAGGTCACATGTGTTAGGTGAGGGCCACGTGTGTTAGACAAGGGCAATATGTGTTAGGTGAGGCCACGTGTGGGAGGCGAGGCCACGTGTGTTAGGTGAGGGCCACATGTGGTAGGTGAAGGCCATATGTGTTAGGTGAAGGCCACGTGTGTTAGGTGAGGGCCACGTGTGCTAGACGAGGCCACGTGTGTTAGGCGAGGGCCACGTGTTAGGTGAGGTCACGTGTGGTAGGTGGGGGGCCATGTGTGTTAGGTGAGGGCCACGTGTGTTAGGTGAGGACCACGTGTGCTAGGTGAGGCCACGTGTGGTAGGTGGGGGGCCATGTGTATTAGGTGAGGGCCACGTGTGTTAGGTGAAGATCATGTGTGTTAGGTGAAGGCCATGTGTTAGGTGAAGGCCACATGTGTTAGGTGAGGGCCACGTGTGTTAGACAAGGGCAATATGTGTTAGGTGAGGCCACGTGTGGGAGGCGAGGCCACGTGTGTTAGGTGAGGGCCACATGTGTTAGGTGAAGGCCATATGTGTTAGGTGAAGGCCACGTGTGTTAGGTGAGGGCCACGTGTGTTAGGCGAGGGCCACGTGTTAGGTGAGGTCACGTGTGGGAGGTAAGGCCACGTGTGTTAGGGGAGAGCCACGTGTGTTAGGTGAGGACCACGTGTGCTAGGTGAGGCCACGTGTGGTAGGTGGGGGGCCATGTGTGTTAGGTGAGGGCCACGTGTGTTAGGTGAAGATCATGTGTGTTAGGTGAAGGCCATGTGTTAGGTGAAGGCCACATGTGTTAGGTGAGGGCCACGTGTGTTAGACAAGGGCAATATGTGTTAGGTGAGGCCACGTGTGTTAGGTGAGGGCCACATGTGGTAGGTGAAGGCCATATGTGTTAGGTGAAGGCCACGTGTGTTAGGTGAGGGCCACGTGTGCTAGACGAGGCCACGTGTGTTAGGCGAGGGCCACGTGTTAGGTGAGGTCACGTGTGGTAGGTGGGGGGCCATGTGTGTTAGGTGAGGGCCACGTGTGTTAGGTGAAGATCATGTGTGTTAGGTGAAGGCCATGTGTTAGGTGAAGGCCATATGTGTTAGGTGAGGGCCACGTGTGTTAGGTGAAGACCACATGTGTTAGGTGAAGGCCATGAGTTAGGTGAAGGCCACATGTGTTAGGTGAGGGCCACGTGTGTTAGACAAGGGCAATATGTGTTAGGTGAGGCCACGTGTGGGAGGCGAGGCCACGTGTGTTAGGTGAGGGCCACATGTGGTAGGTGAAGGCCATATGTGTTAGGTGAAGGCCACGTGTGTTAGGTGAGGGCCACGTGTGCTAGACGAGGCCACGTGTGTTAGGCGAGGGCCACATGTGTTAGGTAAAGGCCATGTGTGTTAGGCGAAGGCCACGTGTGCTAGGTGGGGCCACGTGTGCTAGGTGATGCCACATGTGTCAGGCAAGGGCCACGTGTGTTAAGTGAGGCCACGTGTGTTAGGTGGGACCACGTGTGTCAGGTGGGGCCGTGTGTGGGAGCTGAGGGCCCACGGCCACACGTGAGGGTGGCCGGTGACTTACTTGGCTGCTGGGAGGTGTCGGATGTGCCCCCCTCCAGTGCAGGCGTGTCTGCCCCCAGCTGCGTTGTTCTGAACCGTCAGATCTCAGAGAACAGCGCCTGAGCTGCCCTCCGGCCAGCACGGGGCCACTGCGGGCGCCCACATCTTCAGTGCCGGCATCTTACCTTGCTGCCCTTCTCGAACCTGGGCTCGTGCTTGCCTGCGTGGTTCCCCATCCTGGACGGGGGGTGTGAACCTGAGGGAAAGAGGAGCTGTTAGCTTCCGCGGCCGCCCCAGCTGTCACAAGCGAGCGCAGCCTCGCAAGGGCCACGCACTGTGGGCGGCAGGGAGGGGCGCGGTCTGGGGAGGGCGCCCCCGTTAGAGAGACGCGGGGTGTTCCCCTTTAGAGAGATATGGATTGTCTCCCAGCTAGAGGAACACAGGGTGTCTCCCAGAGAGAGACGCAGGGTGTTCCCCTTTAGGGGACCGCGAGGTGTCTCCCAGCTAGAGGGACGCGGGGTGTCTCGGCGGGGCGTGAGCACAGCACCCCACGTTGCCTGGGTGCCCCAGCAGGCTGGACAGAGCAGTGGACACACGGGAGGGCCAAGCAGGGCTGTCCACATAGTGGTCATCACCGTCAGCTGTTCACGCGGACACGTGCCCCGGGGGCCTCTCATGTCCCCATGGGCCACCCCACCCCTGCTTCCTACTGCCCACCCGCCCCACCGCAACACTCTGGGGGGGGAGGACGCGTAGGACAGGGCAGCGCAGGAGGGGATCGAGGGCCCCGCGGGCTGGACAGGAGAGGCCTTGGTGCAGAACACAGCCCCCCCAGCCAGGGGTGCATCTCTCACCCACCCAGAGAGCGGACGACTCACCCCCTTCGGGTGGGCTGGGGGGCGCCCCCAGGAGAGGGCCCCAGACCTGGGGCCAGGAGCCAGCGGGGCCCCAGGAGCTGGCCCTCCCTGGGGACACTCGGAGCCATGAAAACAAACGCACGTCACACGTCGCAGCAGAGGCTGGACCGGCTGGGGGTGGGGTGCCCAGGGGATGGGGTGCTCACGGCCCTCGGTGGAGGCTGGCCCAGAGCGCGTGTCGGAACCGTGACTCAGGCCCAGGCAAGACCCTGCAGGCATGCTGGTCTGAGCGGCAGAAGGGGACCCTGCCCGGCCAGGGCGGGCACAGACGCCTCCGGAATCTGCCTGGGTTCCCGGCCACCGGGAGGGCCGTGCAGCCGGGCTGGAGCTGGGCTTCCCAGGACAGGCCTGTCTGATGGAGGAGGCTTCCGGGGTGAGGCGCCGAGCCCGTGACAAGAGGCGCCTGTGGGGGCACCCGGGGACCAGGCAGGCCTGAGCCTGAGCTCAGAGGCCCGAGGCCCTGCCCACTCCCGGCCGTGAGGCCCGGGGACCCACATTCCTCTGGGCCCCGTCACCGGCAGCAGCAGGTGGCACCTGTCTGACTGGCCCGGCCCGAGGCACTTCCGGGTCCACGCCTGCATCTCTGCTCCCTCGGAGGTGCTCTGGCTGTGGCCCACGGGGCATGGGGGCTCAGGTGCCCTCGCCCCGGGTACTGTCCTGCGGCCTGTCCCCCACCTCCAGGGAGAAGCTGACTCAGGCAGGAGGGCCCAGGCTGCTGCCCCGCCCTCCCAGTGTCTACATCCAGAACCATCCAGAACCTTCCAGGTCCCGGCCAGTGTCTGCGGGCTGAGTTCCCTGCTTACTCTCAGCCTCCAGCACGGCCCTGGAGGGGCACCTCGGGGTGCAGAGCCCAGCGCCCGGGAGGGACCCTCCCCACAGATACGCACACATCTACTCCCCCACATGCACGCACACAGAACGCACACGCGCAGACACGCTTGCCTGCCTGTGTGCACACCGAGCGCACGTGTGCAGCACCCACCCTCCCGGCCTCCGCCCCTCCCGGCTCGGGCAGCAGTGCAGCTTCTGGCCCCCAGCAGCGCCCCGGGGAGCGAGCCGTTATGGGACCATGACATGCCCGCGGGAAGCCTGCCTGGCTGGTGGCCTGGGAACAGGGCTGAGGGGCAGTGCCAGCACGCGTGACCCAGGCGCTCGGAACACCAGAGAAGTTCTCAGAGGCAGGAGCAGCGCTGGGGGTGTGCGTGTGAATGTGTGAGTGTGTGTGTGTGTGCGAGTGCGAGTGTGAGTGTGTGTATGTGTGTAGGAGTGTGTGTGTGTGAACGTGTGACTGTGTGGGTGTGTGTGGGCTTCTCTCTGCCCCCTCCCTCCGTGCCCCCTCCCGGTGCCCTGCCCTGTCCCGTGACCACTCTGATAGTGATCTCTGTCCCCTCCACTGGCCTGGAAGAATGTGGTTTGGGGACATCACCTGGCGGGTTTCAGTGGACATTCCTGAGGCCTGATGTCTCACCTCCGTGCCCAGCTGACTCAGGCCAAGGTCATGGCCCGGGTCACAGGGAACCATCCTGACTCCTGCCCCTCCTCCGCCCCCACCTGGGACCCCCGAGCTCCACCCAGCTCTGGCGCTGCTCCCTGCAGTTTCCTGGCACCCCCAGCCACACCCCTCCCTCTTCCCCTCACCCTGTTTCTGCCCCCCCTCCCCTCACCCTGTTTCTGCCCCCCCCCCCACCCCCGGCTTGGCCTGTGGCTGCAGTTAATCAATTAATCCCTAATAAAGGACGATATGGCAGTTGGCTTTATGGTCCCTTTTTGATCTTAGATTAGACCTTGGTGAACTGAATGTCAGTTAGTGGAAATTCAAGGATCTCAACTACAAACGCGGGAACCGCCTTCTAGGAACACCCACCCACCATGGTCTTCAGTGGCCTCCGTGTCCCATCCTTCCTGGCCAGCGGCAGTGGTGAGCATGGGTGCGGCCTTGCTGGCTCTGAAGATGCCCAGCCTGCGTTCCCGCCCCCCCGTCACGCCCACCTGTGGGCAGGACCTCTTAGAGGTGCCCCTTCTCAGCAGGATACTAAGGATTACTGCATCATTAAATGAGCCCTGGAGAGACATCGTCTGAAAATAACACGGCCAGTCAACCTGCCCTTCAAGCCATCTCACTTATCTTAAGTAGTGGCCCCCTCTCTGGCCTGCCTCCCTCTCTTCAGAAACAAATATCGCTGAGCACCCCACCCTGGAAATCTTCCTTTTACAAGTAAGCAGGGACCACCCCCAATATATCCAAGGCTGCTGCCCCCCAGCAGTGCCCACACCCTCTGGGCAGCGGACAGCGGTGCCCCCACCTGGCAAACATGATTCAGCGGCAAGGGCCACCATCTCCCCTCCGGCCCTCGGGGCAGTGGGAGCGCCTGGGCGTGCAGAATCAGCCGCCTCTGATTTCTACATGGGCATGCGCACGGATAAGCATGTTATTGCATGCATTGTGCATGGATAAACATGTTGTTTGCATGCATGTGTGTATGGATAAGCATGTTATATGCATGCATATGTGTGTGGGCAAGCGTGTCATGTGCAGGCATATATGCATGGATAGGTGTGAACTCTGCATGCGTGTGTGTGTGTGTGTGTGTGTGTGGACATGCACGTCCTACTATGAAGGCTATCCTGGCATGTAGGAGTCTAAGGCCCATGTTACCAGTTCACTAAGCGCTGTGATACTCTATTCATTAGAGACCTACTCTCCAGTCGTCATTGTTACTTTGTATTCATTTGCAACTTGTTTTGCAACTTGTTTTCTGTTGCTCGCTGTTACTTTGAGTTTTGTCTATGTTGCTACTTGAAATGCGTAATTGACTTGAACTGCTGGGATTCAGTCACGTGTATTTCCCTCTGTGCTAAGTATCGAGATGCGTGGGCTTGGCTGAGCAGCTCAGCGGAACTCTGCAGCATGAAACACACCAACACACAGGGAAGGTCTGTCCGGGCAGCAGTCTCTGCTCTGCTCATTAAGCCGGGAAAGAGAGAGTCAAACAGCGAGAGCTGGAGAGCAGAGAGAAAATTAAGCCAGAGAGCAAACAGCCGAGAGCAGAAACCAAGGAAACCGAGAGCAGGAAGAAGAGGGGAAAATCAATGAAACAGAAAAGGAAATCTTTACAAAAATCGGCAACATCGATAATCCTCTGGCCCAGTGACAAGTGCGGCGAGGTGACCGCCCACCCGGCAACGGCCCACGCCTCCCTATCCCCGGCTGAGAGATCCCACCCCCGAGGAGATCCAGGACCTCGGTGATCCTTTCCCGCAATAAAACGGAACTTGGGATTGAAAATTTCTTACCCCCCCAAAAAAACAAACAAACGCCCACAGGTCCTCTATGCAAAGGCTTGGGGGCACCAACGGCCCACCCCCTTCCAGAGACGGAGCATCGGGGAGCACTTCGGCTCCTGTTCGGAGGCCAGCGTTGCCCGGATGGCCGGCCGGCCCGACAGAAGCATTTCAAGTGCCGTTTCGCATGAACTTAGAAGCAAAATTGCCAAATGAACTCTTAGTAAAGTGAATCCAGCCACGCAGAGAAACGTTTGCACGTACAGTGACTTCATCCCAGATCCGCGAAGGGAAAGCCCATCCCTAGGATTCATCAGAAGGACAAGTCGATACGCACAAAGGCACCTGCGTCCTATTTTTTCTTTTCTTTCTTTCTTTTTGGGTCACATCTAGTGATGGTCAGGGCTGGCTGACTCCTGGCCCTGAACTCAGGAATTACTCCTCCCGGTGCTGGGGGACCCTACGGGATGCTGGGGATCGAACCTGGGTCGGCCACGTGCAAGGCAAACGCCCTCCCCGCTGTGCTATCGCTCCGCCCCCCCGCCCAAGCATCTTCAAGCCTGAAACAACATCTGACAAGATGGTCCAAATGAGCATCTCCTGAGAAGGCCGCAGCAGGTGGGAAAGGCCTCCCCCAGGGCCCAGCCACACGGCGCCCAGGCTGAGCGGAAGCGGGGACACACAATCCCAGCTCAGCACCCTGTGACCGTCCCTGAGCAGGGAGGCAGGCCAGGGTGTGGGACAGAGCCTGGTGGGAGACAGGCACCCGCGCTCTGCAGACAGGCGGCCGGCGCGGAGCACAGGAGGGGGCAGAACCTCCCAGGATGGAGGCAGGGGATGGGCAGAGCCTCCCTGGAAGAGGCTGCAGGAACCAGGCAGCCCACGGATTTCCCCTCGTACCCGCCCACAGACCTGGCGGCAGTGAAAGGGGCCCCAAGTGCGCAGAGCCCTGGGACATGCCCCGGGACCCAGCCCCAGATCTGCTGACAGTGACAAACCCGCGTTACTGAAGGGAAAGTGCCTCTGCAGAGGAGCTGACCCGGAAGCAGGGAAGACCCAAAGGCAACTGTCCCGGCGCCCCCAGAGGCCTGGGAAAGGGAAACGAGATGGTGAGAGTTCTGTGGAATGGGCAGACCTGAGCAGGCTCCTCTCTTTTTTTTTTTGCTTGTTGGGTCACACCCGGCGATGCTCAGGGGTTACTCCTGGCTCATGCACTCAGGAATTGCTCCTGGCGGTGCTCGGGGGACCATATGGGGTGCTGGGATGTTGGCTGCGTCAAGGCAAACGCCCTACCCGCTGTGCTGCCGCTCCAGCCCCATGAGCAGGCTCCTCTTTAGGTGACTGTGGGACACAGGGGACTGCAGGGTGTATGTGGGCATGGAGCACTGGAAAGGGAGCACTGGGAAGGGAGCACTGGCATGTGGCACTTGGGAACACTGGGGAGGGAGCACTGGGAAGGGAGCTGCATGCCTACCAGCTGTTCAGCCAAGGGTGGAGGGGAACTGTTTCTGCTGCTGAGGTCACACGGGGCTCGGAGGAGGACAAGCGTCTCGACTGCCAGCACAGGCCAGACACAGAGACATGCAAACGCAGAGGGGACTGAGGCCAAGGTGAGTCCATGGGGGACGGTCCTCGCCGCAGTCAAGGGCCGGACCTGTGGGCAGGGCAACAGCAAAGCCGCACCCTGCTCCCCGCCCCTGTGCCGCTGCACGGAGCCACGAGCGAAGAGAGCATGCGGAGGCCGGGCCCACCACGGTGACAGCCCCCCACGGCCCAGGAGAGACACAGGGTCACCGGGGCACGTGCAGGAGCCCCAGGGACGGCACCAGAGGTGGGAGCAGCCGGAACTTCAACTGACACTGAGACACAAGCCCGCTCCAGGGGCGAAGGCCTGGCCCTGGGTCTGGAGACCCCGCACACACAGGGTCAGTCACTGTGGGGGCGCTACTCTCGCAACAGCCAACACACACCCGAGTGCCACCCACACCGCTGCAGCAGGAAGTGCACAAGAGCCAGACACACACTGCTCGCGTGATAGATACCACCACAACAGCCAAACACACAGCGCCACAGCACACGGCACCACAACAGGTGGAGGGCAGTGTCACACTGGAACACAGTGCACAATACCACACAGCCTGAGCTCACATGCCACGGTGCACGCAGCCAGAGGGGGGGCCTGTCCCGGCAGGGAGGGGAGGGCGCAGACGCAGGAGAATCCTGCACACCGGCCACACTCGAGCCCGGGCGGGCACCTACCCCCGGAAGTGAGAGAGTCTGCACAGTCCAGCAGTGGGTGCCGGCACCTTCCGAGCAGGGCAAGGGCAGCCTGCAAGAGCGGGAGGCTGCCGGGCGGGAAAGGCGGAGCCGCACTAAGCCCGGGAGGGGCCTGCCTGCCGGGAGGGGCCGCTCAGCTCGGCGCGAGCCCGTCTGCTCACAGCGGTTGAAGTGACGCAAGGCAGCAAAGGGGAACAGAGATGTGGCAAGTCCCCGGGAAGTGGGCTGTGGGCAAGGCTGCAGGGGCCAGGACGGGCAGGAGGGCTGTGCCCACACCCACCCGGCGGGCAGGCTTTGCAGGTACACATGGAAGACACGGGCCACACACGAGCAGCGCTCCACTCACTGCATGGGCACACGCCACGCACACGCATGCACACGCTCGCACACGCTCGCACGGCCGCCATCTCGGGGCGGCTGATGAGGCGCCCCGTCTTTCCTGGCTCTGCCAGGAGCTCCCGGGTGCCCGGCTGCAACGGCCACTTCCTGTATCTCTGGCCCTCGAAACAGTCCACACGCGACCCAGCGTCCCTCCTCCGGGCTGTCCCGGCCATTCCCTGCCCTGGGCTTCAGAGGCTTTTCTCTCCCACCTGCTGTGACGCCCCAGGGCTCTTGGCCCTGCCCGTCTGCAGGCACGGGTCTCCTGGACGGCTGCCACGGCGCCACGTGACCTCCTGTGCCAGCACCTCCCGGCGGTGTATGGCCCCTGCCACTGGCACCGGTGCCCGTGCCGCCCCAGGGCCTGGGCAAGCTCTCGGCTCAGGCAGGCCCCCTGGCTGGGTAGACAGATGGACAGGTGCCCAGGCAGAGGTGGTCCAGCGACCTGGAACCCACGGGGGAGGTGACTGGCACCCACATGCCAGCCCACCGGTGGGCACGGAGCTCTGATGGGCCGTGGGGGCTTCCCTCGGGGCCGCCTGGTGGTGCCTCAGTTCCCTGAGAGCAGACGGAGGGGCCAGAGACAACGGACAGCGGGTTATTCCCTGAGCTTCGGGAAGAGCAGGAAGCGCTGTGGCCGGTACCCCCTCTGGGACGGGGACACGGAGGCGGGGGCTTCCCAGCCCTGGCTCTGACCACAGATGTCACCCCAGCCGCTCCCCAAGCATCCACCCGGCCACAGGGCGAGTTCTGGGGACTTTCAAAGAGGCTGTGCCCAGAGCAGCCGCTGCCCCAGGGAGTTATCTGGCCCCGGCAGGCAGGCGGTGGGGGGTTCCGCCCCTGGCCAGTCTCCCTCCGCGTTTGCACAGTGGCCGGCGGCTCCCTGCTGCCTGCCAGAAGCTGCGCGTGCAGCTCACCAGGGTCCCCGGTCCCGTGTCCCAAACCCCAGCACCCCGGCCGGGACAGACGCGGAGCAGGTGTGACGGGTCCTGTCGGTTCCCCTCGTCAAACTGGAAAGCAGCCGGCGACCGTCCCTGCCCGGCCGAGCCCAGACTTGCCCCTCGGTCCCCCGAGAGGCGGGACACGGCCAGCAGTGACCCCTAGCCCTGGCCACAGCCCCCGGGGGCGCCTGCGGTGCCGGTGAGTGGGGGAGGGGCGCAGAGGCGTCCAGGTGGGCCGGGGCACCGCAGGGGCCGGGGCGCGCAGGGCGGAAGCGGCGCGGCGCGGCGGTCCCGCCCCAGCGGCCCGGGGAGCGGCTCCTGGGGGAGGGGACGCGCCCCCCGCCGGGACCCCGGCCCCCGCCCCCACCGCGCGGCGCCTCGGCTTCCGGGCTTGTCCCCACCCGCGTCTCCACCGCGTCTCCACCCGCGCGGCCCGACCCCGGGCGCGCCCCCCGCACCCACCTGGCGGCTCCGTGCTTGGCGCGCGCGGGCGCGGGCGCGGCGGGCCTGGCAGCTCGGGGCACCCGCCTCCCGCCTCCCGCTTCCTGCCGCAGGTGAACACGCCCGCGCCCGCCCACCTGGCCCGCCCCGCCGCCCGGCCCGGCCCGGCCCGGCCCGGCCCAGCTGGCCCGGCCCAGCGCGGTGGGGCGCGCCGCCCGCCCGCCCGCCGGGGGCTGCGGGAACCCCCGCGCCTGGCAGACCCTCGCGGGCGCCACTCAGCAGGGGGGGGCCTGGGCAGAGCCCGAGTGAGGGGCCACTGCTTGCAGGGACACCTGAGACCCGCTGGCCACGCTCCTGACGAGGGTGAGACCCCCCAGTGACGCCCTCCGGCTCTCCCTGACTGCCAGAAAGGTGCCCCGTGTGTGTGCGCGCGCGCGCGTGTGTGTGGAGGGGCGACCCCAGGCCCCGTGCCCAGGACGAAGACAGAGGGACAGAGGGTCCAGCTGCCTTGTCAGTCGCTCAGGGCACCCCTACCTGCCTGGGAACGTGGGTCAGACAGAAGTGCGGCTGGGGTCCCCAGAGTGGGGGCGGGTTGCGGTGCTGGGGGGATGCAGGACCCGCCCCTTCCCCACTGTGGGGGGGGGCAAGCCCTGGGGTCATGGTGCTGGGGTCGGGGGAGGAGAGGGGGTCTGGGGAGCCGGGGCTGCTCCTGCCCCCCCCAACAGGAAGAGGCTTGGGGTGGAGGCCGGAAGCCCGCAGGCCGTCTCCCACCAGGGCTCCCCATCACAGACCCGTCCTGCGCAGTGAAGTGGTACCTGTGATGGGGTCAGCAGTCTCTTGGTGCCCAGAGTGGACTGAGGCCCAGGACGCACAGAGCGAGTGGACACGGGCCCAGAGTTGGCCCCGGCTGCAGAGGCAGCCCAGCCCCGGAGCACAGCTTCCTCTTTCGGTTTTTGTTGTGGCTGTTTTCGGGGGTTCGTGCAGGCGGCCCCAAGGGCCTTTTGGCTTTTCTCCCGGGACGGACTTTCTCCAGGGACGGACAGGCATCACGCAAGCCGGGCTCTGAGCTGTCTCCTCCTGGGGCAGCTGCCTTCAATTCGTTTACTTTTGGTTTGGGGGACACAGCGGTGCTCAGGGTTTATCCCTGGCTCTGTGCTCAGGGTCACTCCTGGGGGGGGCTCAGGGGATCAAACCCGGGCCAGCTGCATGCAGGTAGGTCAGTGCCCTCCCCGCAGGGCTATCGCTCTGGCCCACTGAGCACCTATTTTATTTTATTTGCTTTTTGGGTCACACCCAGCGATGCTCAGGGGTTATCCTGGCTCTGCACTCAGGAATCTCTCCTTGTGCTCGGGGGTCCCTATGGGATTACAGGGATCGAACTGGGTCAGCCGTGTGCAAGGTAGACGCCCCCCCCCCCACTTTGCTAACGCCCCAGCCCCGACCTGAGCTCCTATTTTAAACGTGTGGAAAAATGTGAGACTTGCAGACCACAGCCAACTGCACACACACACACACGCACACACACACACACTCACTACACGCGTACATACACACCTGCATGTACACATGCACACAAACCCGTGTGTGCATGGGCATCCAAGACAACGCATACACATGCACGCATGCGTGTGCACGCACACGTCTATGCAGAGAGCATGAACACACAGACACACATCCACACAGAGGCGTGTACATAATTGTACGCATGCACACACATGTACACACACATGCATGCATACAGACACACACACAGCACTTGCTGCTGTCACCTGCGGACAGGCCGGGCTGCGTGGGGAAGACTGGCGCGGGCTCCTGCCACCTGCCTCCTGCTCTGTGGCCTGAGACTGCTGTGCCCAGAGGCACTGGCCCAGACTCCTCTCAAGCCACAGTGCCAGCGTGGGCCGCGGGTGCTCCAGTCTGGTGTGTGAGTTCACAAATAAAATGCAGGGGGTGGAGGAGGCTGCTGTGACTTGGTGCATTCGGTGGCCCAGAGTGGCCTCCACACCTCCCCAGGCCTCCCCAGCAGAGAGACAGAGAGACGGGACCACGCCTGATGGCGGAAATGGCCCGTTCAATGCAGAGCTTCCAGCAGACTTATAGAACACCTGAGGGGCTCGAGTAAGGACACGAGTGATTGGTCATTGACATAGATAAACAGAGGAAGTTCTCTTGGGGAGATCAACTCAAGAAGACACTCTGTCTCTCGGGGACATCCACCTTGCTCTTATCTTTCTCTCTACTTGTATAAGTTATCAATACCTGCAGTTGTTTGGATAAACACAGTAAGAGGCAAACATCCCGACACTCAGTTCTCTGGGCTCTGAGAGCAAGCAGGGCTTTTACTGTAAGTCCCAGACTAAGTCCTCAGACCGGTTCAGCCTGTCCTTTCCCGTGGGGGTCCTGTCTCTAAAGTCTTAACAGCTTGCCCCAAGTCCATGCATTTATGCTTTCTGGAATGTCCCATTTTGATGCCGGGTAGCTTTGCCACTCGCCCCGGGTCCATCCCAGTCCCACGGCGGGACCTCCCTTTTGGGGTGTTAGGAACTGCAGCCACTGAGGCCTGAGTCAAGTAATTAGGACCAAGTAATTATGCCCAGGAGCAGATAGAGTTCAGCCAGTCAACTCCCAAGTAGAAGGAGCATAGCCCTCATGGTCTTTCTGTGTTCAGCCAAAGAACACTGCTCTCTAGTAAAATATAGAAGGGCTGTAGGGGAGATAGAGAAGCAGGTACAACCAGACAGCACTTCGAATACTGCCTGCACTGTCCTCCCGTTGTTCATCGCTTTGCTCGAGCGGGCCCAAGTAACATCTCCATTCTGAGACTTGTTGTTACTGTGTCTGGCATATCGAATATGTCACGGGGAGCTTGCCAGGCTCTGCCGTGCGGGCGAGATACTCTCGGTAGCTTGCCGGGCTCTTCGAGAGGGGCGGAGGAATTGAACCCGGCTCGGCCAGGCTGGCTGCACGCAAGGCAGACGCCCTGCCACCGTGCTATCGCTCCAGCCCCACTTCAAATACAAAGCAGTACAAATACAAGTTCAGAATTACCAGAAGGCTTTGGCTTATAAGTAATCAAGACTGACTAGGGAAACCGAAACAACGAGAGGTAAAATACAAGGGAAAGGTTAAAGATAAACTTCAACTAAATTAGGGGTGCTTGCAAGGGCACGACAAGCTTCTCCAGGAGGAGGAAAGGCGGCAATTCACCGATGAAGCCTAGAGCAGTTGGGGTCACTGTCCGGCAGTGCTGCATGGCTCTGGGTCTCGGACGCTGGCCGTAGCTGCAGGAACTCCGAGTGTCAGCAGGGAGACGAGGCCTGTCTGGGGCTCCACCTGACTCTCGCCCTCCCGGGGAGCCTCCCATGCCGCTCTGTCCAGCTCCGGCGTCCAGCTTTGTTTCGGTCGGGCCTTTGGAGTCACTGCGTCATCGGCAGCAGGCAGGCACTGAGGGCCCACAAGTAGCATCTGGACCACAGGGCTCCAGCCGGACACTCTGGACAGATCCGTGCGGATCTCTTGCTGCCTCTGTCCGGGTGAGCTGAGCAGCTCAGGGTGCAGTGGGCAGGGCGGGCACCCCGGAGGCCATCCTGACCAACGGTGACCTCGTCAGGGTGGGACTCACAGTCTCCGAAGATCTGCCCAGTGGGCCCCGTCAGCGCTGATTGGCTTGGACACGGCTGGCGCCCACCCTTCCAGGAGACTCGGCTGGTGTGGGCAGGACCCTGGAGTAAGTGACCCCAGGCCCTCACACTCCTTCCCAACCAGCTGGCCCGCACCCCCGCCCCCCCCAGTCCTCAAGATCCCAGCACTGCGATGTGATTTTCCTTTACTCCCAGTGAACTTTAAGATAATAATCGCCTTCAGCAAGACGTTTCCCTGCTTTTAAAGATCAGCCTTGACAGAGCTGAGCCGTAAAGTGCCTCCCGGCCCCGGAGGCGGCTGCTGTGCTGGCACCTGATGGGCCTTTTGTGCTAATGCGGCCTCAGAACTTCTTTAAAACCCCAAATCATCCTCTCCCAGAGAGCGGCAGCCGGTTCCTGCTGATTGCTATTGTTTTTTTTTCTTTTTTGCATCACACCTGGCAATGCTCAGGGATGACTCCTGGCTCTGCACTCAGGAATCACTCCTGGCGGTGCTCGGGGGACCATATGGGATGCTGGGGATCGAACCCGGTTGGCCACCTGCAAGGCAAACGCCCTACACTGTACTATTGCTCCAGCCCCTGATTATTTTTCAGAAAAGCAAAATCTCGAATGCTGTTCTCTAAACCTGCGTCCTTACCTGGGTGTGTGTGGGAACGCTTGGGCTGCGTGCACTGCCTGGCCACCCAGCATAGCATGGCAGAGCACAGAACAGATTCAGGAGCATCTGCAGTGCTGTCCTCACTGTGTAGACCTGCAGGCGAAGCCGAGCCGGGCGGGGCCTGCGGGTGGGGCAGGCAGACTCTGCTGTGTGTCCATCCAGCACGGTCTATGGGCTCAGGGCGCTGTGGCCAGTGTATGTGTGTGTGTGTGGGGGGGGGACAGCTCTTCCACGGGAAGTGTGGGCGCACCAGGGGCTGCCATGCCACAGGAGAGGGGTCTGGAGCCGTGAGCTCAAGGAGGCCAGCTGGAGGCTGCCGCCTCGTTCCGACCCGCCTGCTGCTGGAGTTCTGGGGAAGGAAACCAGACAGTCGGTCTGTGCCTGTGCCCCCCACAGCTTAAGTCAAAGGGCAGGGCAGGGCTCTGGGCTAAGATCAGAAACGCAGGCCCAGGCTGTAGTTTGCCACAACCTGGTGCCAGACCCCTGAGCCGCCCTGGGAACCTGGAGGGCCCCGGACACTGTCACCTGCAGGCTGGTCTCGATCCACGTCCCGCCCTCGCTGCCTGATACCCCAGCTGTCAGCTGACCAAGGAGAACGCAGGTGGTGGGCTGCCCTGGACCCAGGGCCGGGTCCCCCCTCTCTGGTGTACTTGGGGTGCCAGGTGGGACCAGCTCATCCGTCTGTGGGAGAGGCCACGAGGGAAGGGCAGCCCATGCCCAACTGGACCCTCCGTGCCTTCCGTCAATTCCAGCGTGTCCGGCTGTTTCCACACTGTCCTCAGGCACCTCAGAAAAGCCGACTTGCGTTGTGCTGATTTGCACGACTGCAACGCCTGTGGCCACCAAGTTCAGGGAGTCGGTGAGAAGCACCCAGGTTAGTGATGCGGCCCCCGCAATCCTGCCATCGGGCTGGGCCCACTCGGGAATTTTGATTCTGCTCTGGTGTGCGTATTTCTATTTTCTTCTCTGTCACGTCCGAGACAGGAGGGCTAAGGCTCTTAATTTTTTGGTCGCATGTTGCAAACACGCCATAAATATTCATGGAGCACAGCATTGGAATGTATTTGAGCCGCATGTTGGTGATTTAGTATTTGTAAGGAATCATTCACACTATAAGAAATCATGGCACTATAAATCAGGAAGATATACAAAAACATCATGGAAAGTTGGAATCGCACAAAAAAGTCACATCGTAAAACGTTTCTGGATCTTTGGGTGTTGTTGGGAAACACGCGCTTAGGGTTAGTGGCGATGCTTTTGTTCTTTTTGGGTCTCGCCAGATCATTATGAGGAAGGAACCGGAAGACATTTCCATAGCAGTTAGCTTTATTGCCAATTGGAAGCCTCATCAATATGGGGATTTGATCTTTGTTCCCTCCGATGGTCTGGATGGCAGGAGACTGAGGCGGGTGAGCAGGGCGGGTGGGTGCCAAAGCCACAAACGCCTGCAGGCTGAGTCGCAGGCGGCAGTGCCAAGGGGAGTTGGGACCCCTTAGGGGCGCCTTGGTCGCCGGGAGCCCTGGCAGTCCCTGCTGGAAGGTCACACGCAGAGGCCGCCAGGCCCCTTCCGGGCTCTCCCTGGGCACGCTCTGTGCCCCGTACAGGTGCTCAGCGTGTTGGTA